CGCCACTCAAAGTGTTATAGATTTCTTCTTCTCATAGTTCCTTGTTTTGCCGATGGGGGTCGTGCCAGATGTTCTATCCTTTTTATTTAAATTCGGTCTTGCGTATAAGCTGTACTTCTTCCTGTTTAGTGAAGATACTGCCGTCTTATTCGTGACATGCAATTATTTTTCTTTGGTTTGGTTACTTTTCTACTGACTTTCGTTTACCTGTATAAGGGCTTTTAGTATTGATCTTCACCATATATCTTTGGAGTCGTTTCTCCTTGTCTTTTCCATGTCTGTGTTTGCTCTTGAAGCCTTTTACGAATTTGTATTTGCACATAATCAGTACGAGGCACAGTTTCTTTATCTTTCCTTAATCTTTTCTCTTAAGTTTCTCGAGATAATCGTTCTTGTAAATTGCTCCGATATAATATGCTCATTTTACTTACGCTGCTTCGTCGTTGCCGCAAAATATCCTTTTCGAGACCCGATTTGATCTACATTACCTACAGATTGGCATAAAGCGCCCTTTTTGACCTCGAAAAGGTCGCTGTAGTTCAAAAGGTAATTTCTTCAGCGACTCCTTGATATAGTTTGATTATACAGGGTGGTGCCTAGCGCGACGCAGCATAGGAATTTCAATGGTAATTTCTTTATAGTCAATTACTAGCTCCCCTAATTATTTTAGAGCAAAAGTCTAAATACGTTTTTTTCAGAGAAAAAAATACTGCATCTGTTCATACTACTACTCATAATTTTCCGTTTTTCAAAACCGTTCAAATCGACAAAATAAAAAGGTTCATTTTACAATACATCAGATATGCCTTGGAATTACCAAAAAAAAACAGCGATAACTTTTCATTATTTGCCTTTGACGTATATTAAATTTATACTTGTTTATAAATTAGTTAATCATAAAATTGTTTATCATGTATTTAACTGAAGAGAAAGAGGAAATGTTAAAGTTGTTTTATGCCCGCCAAGTAACGTCTTTATTTACTGTGAAGTACCCCAATTGACCGATTCCCAGCAGTGCCACAGTAGACAGAATTGTGCGCAAGTTTCAAAGAACAGGAACAGTGTTAAATATCTGCAATTGCAATAACGTTCAAAATGTCCGTCAAAACCATCAGGAAAACTACAATACATTCAACGTTTTGGCTGCAGTAGCGGAAAATCCGAATACAAGTTTAAGAACAATTCTTCCTCAAATCAATTTCTTTTTCTTCGATTCTGTACTCTGGTTTCGGAAAATTATAAACAAATAGTAGATATTATGTTATCAAAAATCTCTAAACCTTCCCCATATAGTTTTATTCGTTGAAGTTTTTAAAAATAACAGCGACTATAGTTTCGGCGTACTGCCATCATCAGGCGACTATAGAAGTGTATCACAATATAGCAAATTTGAAAACATTAAGAGCTAGTACTTACTGTGAAAGTTAACAGGAAAACGGTAAATTACAAACGTTGAAGACGGATAAGACGAACATGTTGTTTTTTTAATTATAAACTGACCGAAGCCAAGTGAAAAACCTGAAGGGTGGTTGATTACTAGGAGGGAGGGTTGATTACTAGGAGACTAGAGGATTACTAGCTCTTAATGTTTTCAAATTTGCTATATTGTGATACACTTCTAGTCGCCTGATGATGGCAGTACGCCGAAACTATAGTCGCTGTTATTTTTAAAAAACTTCAACGAATAAAACTATATGGGGAAGGTTTAGAGATTTTTGATAACATAATATATTTCAACCCCCATTTCGAGGAACGATGGATCCAACTCAAAAAAAAAAAAACAAATAGTAGATATCTGATGCAGATGCAGCATTACATTCTCTAAAAAAAACATTACCCCAAAGACGGTTTTTCGTGGGTCGGTTAGTTAAAACAGAATTAAATATGAAAATCGCTCGACGTCAAACAACGATAACTTAGATGCGATGCGCTTGTAGTTTGTTAAAAGATTCCAAAGCATCACTGATTTATAAAAATGTAATTTTTTATTTTGTGGATTTCTACGGTTTTGAAAAATGGAAAATTATAAGTAATCGTATGAACAGATGCAGTATTTTTTTTTCTCTAAAAAAAACGTATTTGGACTTTTGCTCTAAAATGATTAGGGGAGCTAGTATTTGGCTATAAAGAAATTACCATTGAAATCCCTATGCTGCGTCGCGCTAGGCACCACCCGGTATACTGGTTTCGATACAATCGAATTTTAATTACTATCTTTGCTTGATATTCATTTAACGTCTCTCTTCGATTCGAATGGAAAACTGTTCAAGGGTTACTAGCTACCTCGAAACTCGAAAGTGGCGCATCTCTAATTATATTAGTGATGTGAACCAAATTCTGGTCTCGGCGAAATTCTATATGTTGACGTTCGGAAATCGGAAATATCTGGAAAAATCTAGAAATATTTGGGAATCTTTGAATATGATGACCCCTAATAGCTCAAGAAGTCCTACATAGGGCATTAATTTTCAAAAGAATTTTCCGAATTCGCCCCTAGGGAATTTGCTTACGAATTCTATCTATGCGAGGAAAAGAATCGTTCTGCATGCGTATTTTTCAACTTCAAGGGCATATAGTTTGTAGCTCCCCAGGTGAAACAACTCCATCTCTTGGTTTATTTGCAAAATGCTTATTTTAATGTCACCTTCCAGCGAAAGACAACTCGCAGATCACAACTCTTGTGTAATATTTAGGCTTATTTTGAGTCGCAAATTTATTTTGGTGATAAAAACGGACAAAGTCACAGAGAAAAATATGCAAGTAATTGTATATAGAGATTTATTTGCATTGGACTAATTTTTTTTATGTAAACTGCTCTACGGTACGTCAAGTTTGATTTTTACTTCGCTTCCATTTCGAATGACTGAAATCGAAAGCGTGCGAATATCTCCTTTTATAAATCGGTAGATATCGTACACTTCGGACACATTGACATCGTTAATTCTAGTAATTATGTCGCCTTGTTGAAGACCAGCTCTGAAAAACTGCCCTAAATTTTATGGTTCTCAACTGAGTTCCACTTACACATACGCAGGAGCGCCTCGTATAACTTTCCACACAAGAATACCACTGGTAAGGCTTTCAGGAATTGTTTGATGTTGGCCAAGTGTTGTAAGTACTTGGGGTGTAATGAACATTGGAACTATTCCCAAAAACACCGCCTTATTCCCTTGGTAATTTACTGGTACCGGTTGTAGTATAGACTTGCTACCATCCAAGAACCGTTTGGCATAATCTAAAACGTTCCATGAGCAAGTGCGGATTAAATCCTAACAATTTACCAACGGGGATCGCAAAGGAAATACCGGCGGTTACCCTCAAATTATTAATCCCTATAACTTTTCCATCCAAATCGACCAGAGGTCCCCCAGAGTTACCAAAAGTGGTTGTCGCGTCCGTTTGAATGTAACGCATTGAGGAATTGCGCATGCCTAACTCGTCTGCTCTTCGATCCACTGAGCTGACCTACGGCGAAGTGTTAACCACGCATACATTTGCAGCCCTTACAATTCCGGCCGTAACCGAGTGGCTCAATGATAACGGGCTGCCCAGTGCGACAACCCATTCGCCGGTTGTCACATCTTTGGAGCTGCCCAATGGCAAATAGGGCAACTTTTTCTTCGCGTGTATTCTTAAGAGTGCCAGGTCGATGTTCATATCGGCATTCTCGACGGATGCTTCGTACGTGCTTCCATCACTCATCATTACCGATACAATGTTATTCGGCTTGCCGATTACAACGTGTGCATTTGTCAGGATCCAACCGTTTTCATCTACCAGAAACCCAGACCCGTTAGACAAAGTTTGAGGTTGGCCCGTCTGGGGGTCGATGCGATTTGCGTTTTGAATTGTGATGTACACGACGCTTGGCGAACATTTCTGCACCACTTTGTCGATGAAATTAAATTGCTGCCGTAGTGTTCCACCCTCCAATGGTAAAGCGACTGGTTTTTGATAAACCGTTCTTAGCTGATATAAGACGGTGAGAGTACATCCCGTTCCTATCGCGTACAGAAGTCGACTAATCTTGGTCTTGAAATTGCTGTTGGGTTTTAAGGCGAAAGATCTTGCGATTAGCCTTGACTGGTTTTTCAGCAGCTTACATGAGTTTATTATTCTGAACATGGTGAATGATACATGGTGATTTAGCTTTTGTACTTCATTTTTGTTGGGGCGAGGATGAAGTTTTTACTGTCATTAAAAAAACAAAACACACCGTGTAATACGATGGGCAGTGTAGGTACCTTTAATTCAGGTGTAGACTAGCATGTATAATTAACAATAATAAAATATTAAAACTTTTCCCAATTGCACCATTACACTTTGGGGACGTATTTTCCCCAGATAAGTTATCAACGTTGTCCATTACGGTGACGATCAAAGTTGCAGTTGAATTTAATTTTGGAAAACCATCATCCTAGAAGAACTTTTGGAAGGTGTCTACAAAAGGTGGTTCACTTACAGTTGCGGTAATACTGAACTCTTTTCTGTACGGGGCCCTTATTGTTTTCAAACTTGATAGTCTTGTAGAGAAAACCCCTTTGCCATCAGTAACCCCCTTGTAACCCAACCTAAAATCTTGATTGAAGTCGATGGTAAAATAGATCATGTTCGTCGTATAATCTACATCGGTTGCATTTATTGGTAGTAGTTCAGTTAACTCGAAATCTTCAGGAATTGCCATGCCTAACTTGTAATGGTAGATTTTGCGAGAGAAAACTGGGCTGTTGCGATTGAGAATGGCGATTTTTTGGTAAACGCTCTGCAATTAAATGACAACACTCTTTGCATCACAGCAATCAAGAACGGTTACTTACGATATAATCCTCCCGATCATCCGAACATTTAAAGTGTAATATTATTTTTATATCGCCTTCGTGCTTTTCTTCTACTAATTTTGAAAAATTCTCAGTAGTGTACAAAATTAACTCATCATTTAGCATCCTTCCACTTAGATATCTGTCATCTGAGACTTTAAGGAGTTCTGTAATCTAAAGTAAGTCAAAATGATATTGATCTACGCTGTGTGTCAGTTTCAAAAACTACCAGTTCGTTACAGATTTACAACACCCATGAGTGATGGGGTAATCTTTTGAAAATGTTCTCAAAACGTGGTAGTTTTCAAAATTGACACTCCAAATACGTTACCCACCTTTAATATGGTTCGTTTTAAACCTAATTATTTCACCCGAGTGCGTGTCATTTATTGCGTTGGGTAGGTGAAGACCGCCAATCCACGCCGAATTACTAATTCCTTCTATGTCACATTTTGCTAATAAATGAAATTGAGAATTGGTTTTTTTATCTCAGACTTACAGTAAAAAGATGCGCCTCCGGCGTTTTTCAGTATTAAAAGAAGGACGCACAGGGAGAATTTTGCCATTACTCGCGAGTTCATTCACCGACCAAAAGTGGATAAGGTAGCAGATCATTCCTAAAGCGCACAATTTTATCTCGATTCTACTTTCTCACGTAATGATACAGTATCATGAGATATAATTTGTAAAATAGTTTAAGAAATACCTGTGGAAGATTACGTATACCTACTTGAATATTGGCACCAAGATAAGCAAGTAAATATGACACTTAGTAGTTGTCTTTTGGAGCACCCTTTGTACTATGTTGCATGCAAACGAATATAAAGGTCAAAAGTTCTCTCTCTATTTTTTTTACCGATAAATACTCTCAGCCACTTGACCGATTACCACGAAACCTTGGATATCTGCAGAAGTGATCTGAATGAAAAACATTCCTTGTATCTAATACCACAGAAATTAGGTAGGAGAGGGAAGAAGAGCAACTTCTATTCAATAAGATCACTTTGCTCCACAATTTTTTAGGTGCGTGCTCCAACATTTTTCAGTGATCTAAAATAAAAAAATTTGAACATACTCTGTGGTCCTGTTACGCCCCACCTTGTATTCAGCATGAGCGCGTTTCAAACATCTATTGATAGAGGTATTGAAAAAAAGGATGTCGAATTGAATTTGAACTTTTCTTAAATGTGTGTATTAATGCACGTAAAGTAATACATCTATTTAGTGCAAGTGAACAGAAATGTCCAGCTCCTCGTTGTATTCAGTACTAAAGCGATGAAAATTAATTCGGTTTTTAATTAGTCGACCTGTAGTTATCGGAAAAATATAAGATGGACATCGGACTTCCCGTCTTTTAAGCGCGCTCATTTTGATATAACTGGGCGCTGTCTGCCGGTTTTTCCACAAATCATTAAAACGTCATTCATTAACAATGCTTACCCAATGAGCCGCATTCAAACTTCAATACTCATTAATCCAATCAACACCTAGTCTAATTGGAATTTTCCGACGCAACAACTGTTGTCGTTATCGACACTCCGACATGTCTGCAAGACTGATAAAGTATAAACAACTCGATTTGGATTTGGCGTATTATGGGAATCTAAAATTCTTAATAATTAATTAACGGCGCTGAGATATCAAAATATTAATTTACTCTCTTCTCCCTGACAAGAGAGCGTTCGTCAGCTGTAAGAATCATTTAAATATTCCTAACGGAACGGTCGGAAAAACTGATAAATTCATTACAAAACTTACGTGCTTAGCGGCGGTAAAATAAACAATTACGCAAAATGTAAACCCTTGCAACTCCCTCTCGAGTAAATAATTAAATTCAGGTACTCCTTCGTAACGAAGCGCCAAACTCAACACGCTTCCAGACACCGGGTGTTCAGCAAAGCTTGACGACTTCACAGTACAGTACGGTCATAACTTCGGGGCGGAAAACGAGTGCTTCGTTATTGTTTAGAGATAAGGTTACCTTAATCGAAAAGAATTTCGAAGTAAATGTATTTTGGACATTAGGTAATTTCGCGTAAAATATGCGTACGTGACTGGAGAAAGCGCCCTGTAGCGAAGCTTTCATTGGTTTATCGAGTTGCCCGGCGTCGATAATTGGATAAGTAATTTTGATTTGTTTAAGGAGGGCGAAGTCTGATTAAATACCGGAGTTTGCGTTTAGAAGAGGCCTTTTTGTGAATTGTGAGGACGGGGTGTTGTCCGTCTAAAGTCGCCTTTCACCAATTTCGAGGCCGAGTTGCTGTCCTTTGAAAATTGACTAGACGCGTGTCCTTACGTTAAAGTTAAAGACGGTTCACTTAATTATTAGACGCCATTTTGAAAAGCGTTAATTGGTTAAAAAAATTAGGTAGTGATTAATACTGAAAAAAGTGTGGAGATATTCGCCCATGCAAGAAGTAACCACGTAGGTAATCGTGCGAAAATTCGCCTCGAGACTACTCTGCCTAGGTTTGTTTTTAATAATAAAAATAATAATAACTTGATTTTAATCCATGCGATTAGTTAACCAGGCTAGACCTGAGTTCTGACAAGAAACACCGACCATAATGTAAAGTTATTTTGTATTAGTAATATAAGGAACATCTGAAAATATTTGCGTAGTATTTGTAAAAGTTTATCTCATGTCATCTCCGGTCATTGCGATAGGAAGTTCCGTAATCGTGGCATAAGCTAATTAGTTACAAGATAAGAAAACGCAAGTGTTTAGTTACTCAAAGATGCGATGAAATTTAAGGGAGGGCGAATTAAGACAACGGAAAGGGGCATTGCTTTAAATGGAAGAGATGGACGTTAATCGTTGGGCTGTGAAGCTTTTTAGTGTATCGCAGTCAAATTGTTCATAGTCTTTTCGCCTATTGAAAGTTCTGAAACGGAATCACCACATCCGAAGCGCTCACTCTGTGTTTTATACACTCAAAGATTCTAGAGCCAGCAACACTGTAACGGTTCGACTCTTATCTGCGTGAACACTCGCTCTTATCTTAACGTGCTTTATTTCTTGAATACTAGTTCTGTTCTCTTTGATTATGAAGCGGTACACGTATAAAATTGCCTATACCGGAAAATTTGTAAATTTACAAAGCACCTTTACAGCCTAAAACAATAACCTGTTACAATTTATCTTTAAAAATGGCGTGATTAAAGTAGGAAATTGTCTGGGTAACAACAAAGCCTATCCTTGCTTAGCTGAACATTAGTTTTTAGGCTTCCTAAGTAACACATTATTGAACAATGATCATTATCCTAATTTGCCAATTGTGCAATAAATTTGGTAGCCCACCATTCGGTCGTATTTAAATAATAACATCAGCTAAGATTTGTAGACCCGTTTGTATCAGTCCTGATGAATGTTCCACTTAGTAGTGTGATGATTTCGGTATCCACGGAATATTTGTACTTCTTCTGGAAGTTAAAAAAAATGAAAGTTAAAGTTAAAGAGGAGACGTAGATTTGGGGGCCGTAACTCGTAAACAAAATATCACAGTGGTTCAGTTTACTTGGGAAGAATATTTATATTGGAGTCGGCATTATTTTCTTGGAGTTTCGCATTAGATAGGTAGATCGATATATTTGCTTGGGTCCGGTTAATTCTTCGGAAGATTTGCTCCCGTCAGATTGGTCTCCCCGAAAAATTGGCGCCTGGAAAAAATCAAATGGGAGAATTAAACCTTCTAGAGAATCTTCCTCGGGCGAATTTACGTAAAGAAGAATTCTTTTAAGAGCGAACATAAGGTAGGGAATTCTCCGGGGAGAGGATAGATAGTGTTTTCAAACTTTGGATGCTTGCCAGTGTTCCATACAAAATGATGGTAAAAATTTTGAACTTACAGAACAAGTAAATACTAAACGGTATTGACAGTTGAACAAGTGAATAAGTAAAGGTTCGGGCCAGAGCTGGGCGGTATTCGATTTTGTAAATACTTTTTAGTATTCAAATCGTTTAAAGTATTCAAATACTTTGTAATTAAATACTTTTATGGAAGCAATATTTGTATTTGTAACTCAAATACTTTCACAAATATTTAGTATTCGAATACTTCGCAAAGTTATGGACTAGAAATCAATTTCGAAAGAAAATTCACAGGGCTGTAATTTTTGATCTAGTAGCCCAATCTTGGAACTGTTTGAAATTATGGATTCTACAGGCTACTTTTGAAAGTATTCGAATACATTCTAAAGTATTTGAATACTTATTTTTTAAAGTATTTGAATACTTTTCAATGTATCTGTATCTAGTATTCGCTTGTGCTGAACGTAAAAGTATTTAGTATTCAAATACCTTTGATTTGTGTAAAGTATTTACTATTTAGTATTCAAATACTTTTTGAAAGTATTCTGCCCAGCTCTGGTTCAGGCTTAATTCACATTGATAAGTTTTATTCAAAATTAAGGTTTTTGTGGTATCAACGGATGATCGAGATGGTCCGGTTGTGGAACAAAGTATAACAAACAAGGTGTTAAAACACGTTTATTTTCTGCGTTCTGCTCTATGATTATCTCTCATTTTCTTCTATTTAAGGATATTTGCTCAGGAACGTAAGAAACCCGACAGCAGTTCGACTACCTGTATCAAAATCAAAGTGTTTAGTACTCGCATCTACTACAACTTTGGTAAATCTACCAGTGTAATCGATCACGGCTCCATTCCTATAGTATTTTATTGTCGGAACAAATTTGACACCAGCTTCTACACACAAAGTTCTTTCCAGATCACAACTTAATCTTCCCAATTTAATATCGGATCCACTTTTAGTCAGAGATGCTGCTGTGACTGAATAATCAGTTGACATTTGCCTACACCCTGGGCTCACGCTTGAATCTAAAAGGAGAAATCTCGTAAAAACCTATAAGCTGGATTCTTTGAGACGTTGGACAAATGAGACATCGGAAACGGATTGGGTTATACCAATCTGCGCCCTGTCGTACAGACTACTTGGGTTTATCTTATGTAAGTACTTACAAAAGTGTACCAAAATTTTATATTGGGAAATAACTGCTTCGAAATTAACGCTTGATAATTCGTACACTTGTCCATAACCACCAAACGGTAGTATAAGCGATATGAAAATCAGAAAGAATTTATTGACGCAAGCCATTTTACGTAATACTGCCACAACTAGAATTCAGGTTTATAGCCGAATGATTGCGATTTATACCTTCCAATTCCAATTGGTTTAAAAAAGTGACAACTGTTGTATACAACAGAATATAATGGAAAAGCATTGTATGAGTAGAACATAAAGCTTATCCTTGATTAGCTAAGTCACCTGCACGCTTGTGCTGCCCAAATAACACATTATCGAACAATGGTGATTATTATAATTTTGAAGCACTATCATTGAGCAACATCTGATTTTTATACGTTTACGTACAAAGAAGACTTACGTGGGCGCGAAAATATAAACTATAATTATTTTAACGTCCTTCTGAGTACATACCAGAAGCTAAACATACCCTAATTTGAAAGGCTGTGCCTTAGGTGAACTTACTCGCGGAGGATTCGTCCTTGGGAATATCCACTTTGGGACCATTCTTCGGAAAAGCACCTTGGGAGAATTTGCCCTGTAAATATTTTCTTCCTATAAAACTGGGTCCAGATAAATTAGGAAGTTTTTTTCCCTGAAAATTTCTGCGTATGTCCTTCCAAGAAAATGATTTGTTCCTATAAATCCAATTTTTTCCTCTTTGCGCCAGGTTAATTTGCTCTCAATGGAACTGGTCTCCAGATAAATCCACCCCAGGTAAATTGCTTCGGAATTTTTGGCTACTTATTGGTCCCCCCAATTTTCTCCAACCGTTCTCTACTCCGCAAAGTTCGCCTCTTCCCTTCGGCGAGTCACCTCGGAATTTTGGCCAGCAGAAAGATCGATTCCTAGGAAAATTTTCCCCCGCAATAATGGTCTTCGGTGAAGCTGGACCGAAGTAAATCCGCCTCTGAAATATTCTCTCCTATAAATTTGGTCCCATTTGCAGCATGTCTGCTTCAAGAATGTCGCACTCGTTACACGGGTATAGAAAATCACTGTTGTTCCGGTAAATCACGGAAACCTTCCCCACAAAATTTGTAACATCGGATACATGATATTTATTTACTTATCGTCATTGGAAGTTAGTTGAAATTAAGGAAAAACTGAATCTGTAGTTTCTTAAAGATATCAACTGCTACGGGGGTTCCTTCTGGACTTGAAGATTACCATCGGTTCCGCCCGGCAAGGCAAACCGTCTTCTTCTTAGGCTACTCAATCGATAAAAATAAATGCTCCGGCTAACTCAAATCGGTGGGCTTTTAACTCTTTTGAAACTGCGTAACAAACCTTAAACTGCCGCCTACCAGTCTCCTGCCTCAACTCCTACTCCTCCCTTTCCTTCCCCTCGTTCTTCGTTAAAGACAGGCACATTGAAACCAAATAGATAATATATTGAAATGAGATTAGCGATACAAACAATTTACAGGGATCTAGCAGTTCTTCTCTCCTCCTTGTATATACACTAGCTTAACAATGACAACTACTAACTAAAAAAATCCTAACAGGTGAAACTAATTTACTCAAGGGGTGGCCATCCTCCACAGTTTGAAAATTGCAACAACAGGTAATCGTTTTTAATCCAGCGTGGGCTGGGACTTATTTAAATAAACACAAAAATTTATCCTACTCTTTGGTAATCGTTCATTGGACTTTAATAAACAATCAACTCAAAAAAATTTTTTTACTATAGCTTAATTACCAAAAAGTGGAATTTTACAGAATATTACAAATTTAATTAGACTAACCTTTACAACATTTGTACAGCCGATCTTGTGAACTGCTCTTTCCTCTGGTACAGGGTGGATGTGATGAAACCTGACACTTAGGTCTCTGTGACTTCCTAGGGGGTGGCTTGAATTTAACACACGGAAACAAAAATCCACGGTGCCTATCCTTCCTCGGAACGAAGCAAAGTTTAGTGTTTGAACGGAAACTTAGTCCCGGAAATCCTTCGCGTGGCGAGTGGGAGACGGCTAGTTGCCAAAGTTTCTACACAGCACAGTGTATTTAATTTTATTTTATCAGTTTATTAGCTTTAATCGCCGGCGGGAGATGGATTTTTTGAGTTAGCGGTACGGCAGAACACAAACTTTTATGATCAGTATCCGACGGTAAACCGCGACGGTTCAAAGTATTATTTCACCAGCTCTTCTTGGGGCAAATATCTCTCCGAAACGCAGCGCTCCTTCGACAAATGACCTTACGGCACTAGTAGGAAATTCCACCTGGGGCGGATCCCGAAATTCTGCGCCTTGAGGACTAGGGCAGCACTTGGAATTATATATCCTCGAGAAATCACAACGTATCCTAACGCGATTCACTGCATCCAAAGTAACCTGGGGTGAAGCTCAAGGGTTCGCCAAAATATCACCTGATTGGAACCTGGTCTTCTTCGCAAAAAAATCAACGCGCAAAGAAAATAACACTTCGAAACGGGTGCAAAAAGCACGCAACTGCGAGCAACCGAAATAAGCCGGTGGCTCAAACCGCCAAGTGTACCAAAACTATCGCTCAAGGTACGTGTTGACCGCTTGAAGTACTAACCGCGAGTCTCTCAAAAACGCGATCACTCAAAGTACGTGTCGACCCCTCGACGTACTAGCCGCGAGTCTTTTCTAAAACGATCCCCTTCTTCAGAATTGAAATGAAAAATCACACCCAAATTACCATAAAACAAAAATGGCTCCCGCTAGAAATTCTCCCATTGGTTTAGATAAAGAAAACTTAACCCACTCCAACTTCGTCATTAACCTCCAAGAACTGCTGACCAAACTGATCTCACGGTTTTCTGTTGACGACGTGGAAAGGGCCCTTATCTCTGATAGCTCGGTGTTACATCCGCTCCTATTCTCGGCCCAGACGGCGCCCAAGCTGAATAAACTAACGACAAACAACTCGCATTACTCATGATGACGTCAATCAGCTTTGCACTCTTCCCACGACGAAATTAAATCTGAGCGAAATTAAATCTATCGGACCATAGTCTTGAGCGAACCGAAATGCCCAAACACAAAATTTCTAACCGGAACAAATAATGAAATATACAGGGTGACCTGCACTATCATGACAAGAAATTCGAAATTTTTAATGAAATTTGGCGCGAAATAAAACCACTCGTTACACAACCTCTTGACAAATTTGAAGCCGTTTTGTATTACATGTATTTTCCCACTAATGAACCCAATAGAACTGTATCCGTTTCTCACTTCATTATTTTGCTGAGGAATTTTAAAGTTTACTTAGAAAATTAAAATTTTGTTTCGAAGAAGGTTTAACCCCCTCTTTATGCGGCCCCATTGCACACGAAAACTTTTACCACAAAAGTTTTTACAAAATTCTTTGTAACACATATTCGCACCTAACGATGTCGCGTCAAAAGGAAACTGATTTTTACGTAAAAAAAATGCGTAGGATTTTCTGCCAGCGAGCAGTTCGCCTCTGTAAAATTTTGCACGGAGAAAACTTACGAATGATTACTGATTCGCCCGCGTGGACTAGTTGAAGGAATATTTACTTCCAAGAAAACTCACCACAAGTAAATTGGACTTTCAACTTTCCCTAACATCCCGCCCCACAAAAAAAGTTCCACCGCAGGTACATTTGTCCTAGCTAGATGGGTAATCGACGATCCGGGCACTATAAACGTACATAACCTTCCCTTATCGGACCGCATTTGCATGTAACACATTTTCTGGGGTGTATTTGAACTTCGGAGCCAACTCTCACGAATAAATTGAACTAGGTGAATTGACCTAAAGTAAATATTCCGGTGGTGAATGCTCCGATTGCAAATTTTCTGGTGGGTGATGTGTGGATTCTGAATTTTCACGGAGGGCGGGGGACGAATGAACTTATAGGCAGGGGTAATATTTTTCCAGTGGAGAAATTGTTGGGAAATTGCGGATATTGTCAATTAAGAGTGCGAGTATTCCTGTAGCGATCTTACCTGGAAACCAATTTGATTTAAGTAACGTTTCGGGGGTGAGTTTTTGTGATCGAATTGGTCACAGTACAGAGTGAATTAACGTGTAGTGTAGTGATCACTTTCGTTTTGAATTTGTATTTTGTTAAATATAGGAAAATGTACACACCGCTTCATAGTGAACGTGAACGAAAGTATGTCCTGCGATAACAAGCGATAACCAGGAGCCTATTGCGAAAATCGAAGGCGATTGCCACGATTTTTGAGACTTAAAAGTTTCATTCCGTTCTGTTTAAAGCCGGCTACGTGGCGGTAATGCGGGTTTTCTATTGGTTGTTACAGTACACCAGTCGAGGTCACTTGCGCTCAGAAATACGTCCTGTTTCAGTTCTTGTGGTGGGCGATATTTAAATACCAACAGAAGTGAGAGAGCGGTCATTTACGAGCGTGAGCCCGTACCAAATTAAGGAGCGACCACGAGTATGAATATCGGTATGTGAAAAAATTGTTTCGCGGTATTTTTTAGCTGGGTTGGGAGACATATCCTCGCGTATTTGTCAAGATTGGTGTTCGATTTTAAGAACCAGAAGGCGTAATTGGTCTTAAATTTACGTACGTCGTGGAGAATCGTTTAAGCAAATTCGGATTTGTGACCGATTGCAAGTTACCTGCAATTTTATTGTGTGCGAATACACGAATTACAGTAAATTACTTTTTAGTACCTGATTCGTAGCAAGGCCGTTTGGTTACGAGTGGTAAAATATACGCGAAGGAACATTTTTGAGTTGGAGAACCGCTTTTCAAATAAAAATCGGGATTAAATAAACTGACTTATTCCGATAATCAAATAATTTCTTTTCTTTCTGATCTCCAAATGTAACGGCCGGTTAAATGTAAGTCCTTTAAAGTTGGGTGACATTTGCGCGATAAATAAAATTTTGTATACAACGGCGTACGGCAGACAATTAATCGGCGAATTTTACCTGCAACAAGACCTAGTTCATAAATTGAGCGAAATTAATATCAACACAGCGGAACATTGGCTTATTATTCTAGTGCATTATCACGATCTCGAATATTGGTTTCGTGAAATGGAGGCGGTTTGCATTCGCGATTCCTACGAACTGTTTTCCGCTAAATTTCCCATACACCACGGAGTCAACTGTACCATCGAAGCGATCTGATTCCATATTTTTAAAAGAAGCGGAATTTTCCAAATAGAGATTACTTTGTTATCAAAAGAGAATGTTTTTACCATTGCTGTAGAGGTTCAATTGTATTTTATGCAAGTGGGGTTTTCGACCCTTGTAAATGTACCGAAGTCCGTTAAGTGCATGGGGGTGAATCTGGGAAAGTGTTAGGAACTTTTTTTAAAAACGGATATTGCCTTATCAAGTTATCACTTACAGGGTTTGCCCCAAAAGTAACGAGCCTTTTTAAAAAAATAGATTTATTGAGTTTTTTGAGAACTTTTTTGTAGAAGTCCCTGCTGACGGTCTGCCCTGTACTGGTCGTACAAACGTGTGGTGCACGATTCCCGTAGCGTCGAAGAACACGATGACCATGGACTTGATGAGGGAATTGCTCATTCTTGCATTCTTCTGACGCGGTCTGTGCCACTCGCACTCTGCATTTTCGTATCCGGATCGTGTTCAAATATCCATGACTCGTCTCCTAGCTGTGATGTTGTCAAGGAAATTTGGATCCTCCTCACAGATTGAGTTCAAGCAGCTCGTTCCACATTTCCACGTGCTGCTGTTTTTGAGTGGAAGACAAGACATTTGCCACAAATTATGCGCAAATGTTACGCATGGCCGATTCTGAAACAATTCGGCAGTTTTCGGCAAATTTAATTGTTCAGACATCAATCGAACACTCATTCGGCGATTTTTGTTCAGCAAATCTCCCACACGAATAACATCGTCCGTTCACGATGTTAATGGACGCATTTGCGACTTTTTCTCTGCGTTCCTTGAACGACTTGTGTCACTTTTTGACCTGCGAGAACGACAAGCAATCATCCTTAACAGAGTTGGACTGGGTCAAGCATAGAGTGACCCAGTGACCCGGTGACCCAGTTAGTTTACTGACCCAGTGACGGTGACCCAGTTGACCCCAGCTTGACCCAGTGACCCAGTTTGGTGACCCAGCTTGACCCGGTGACCCAGTTTGACCCGGTGACCCAGCTTGACCCGGTGACCCAGCTTGACCCAGTGACCCATCTTGACCCAGCTTTACTCAGTGACCCGTCTTGACCCGGTGGCCCAGTAATTAAATTATTGTTAGGTATCATCCAAAACAATTTCAAGTAACTTTTAATTTTAAAAAAAACTTCCTCAATAATATTCGGCAACAAGCACGTAGCCCAATTTCATTCAAGAGAACTAATACCTAAAAAAATCAAATGCATTTGTTTATAGTTTGTAGTCAAGTAGTCAATGAAAGTATTTAGAGAAAAGATTTATTTGGATTAAGCTAACTAGTAGAAAAAAATTAAATGTGAATGAACACCTGTAAGCAAACTGGTAAGCCCTGAAGCAAAGAAATAACATTATTCTAATACAATTCGGGACATGGAAAGTTTTTTACGGCAGTATTAAAGCAAACATCACAGAAATGGCAGTTGTCAAGCAATCGAGTATTATTTTCAACAAACCAGCATTTCATTTATTTCATAATCTGTACACTTGAACCGAGGGCACTGACTTAACTGCGTTATTCAATCAAACTAGGTGACTGGGTCGAATTGGGTCCCCGGGTGAAATTTCGCTGGGTCGTCACTGGGTCAAACTGGGTCACTGGGTCAAACTGGGTCACTGGGTCAAGTTGGGTCACTGGGTCAAACTGGGTCAACTGGGTCACTGGGTCTAACTGAAAAGAGTATGACGTGACCCAGTGACCCAGTTTAATTTAGTGACCCAGGTGACCCAGTTGACCCAGTGACCCAGTCCAACTCTGATCCTTAAAGGCCGCCTTTTGGAGTTTGACGCAAAATTTTATCGCATAGCCTCACCACGAGACTCTTTCCTTAAAAATGACGTCCCACAAAGGATCGAATTTCACTAAGACAATAATGTGATTCATTGTTCGGCCGTTGCACTTGCAATTGTAAAGGTATTTTGCACATTTTCTCATTCATTGTTAACAAGGACGCCCCAAGGTAATAGGATAGGTACAACAAAATTGGTGAAAAAAAGACGTATAATATCTGAGGTAGTTGTACAATGGCACATAAAATAAATTAAGTATGGGAACGCTTTAGTGTGGAATCAAAATACTTGACCTTCTATTAAACCGTAGTCGTCTAATTAAAATACCACGGTTTAGGATAAGGGTTGTTGCGATTAAAGCCGCGTAGAGGAGCAAGAACCACCAGGTGGTACCGTACAAGTTCCACAACTTAAGGCAGTGCGAGTGTAAATCGTCGTCCTCGCAATTGTCCTGAAAGCGAATAAGGAGTGCCGCACTGTCCAAACTTTGGAACGCTTGATTCACCACCTCCATTTCAACCACGACGAATTTCCTCGACTTTACCAGAGTTTTCGGCAATGGTCGCAGTGTTTTCACTAGGCCGCGTTGCTCAGAGTTCATCTCAATTTGAAAATAATCCCTGAGACCTAAACGCGTCAATGCAATTTGAAGTAATACATACAGAGATGACCTACTTACTTCGCTGCATTAATACCAAGCTTTCTGCATTCTCCAGTTGGATAGGTTCCTGCAGATGCAGATCATTGGACGAGTACTGCGCCAAATACACTGGCTTTGAAAAGAATGGTTTACTATGGTAGCTACTTTGACTGGTATTGGACGAAACGCTGATAATTAAACGTGCCTTTGACTGGCGAGGTGGTGAACCGCTATCCTGTAACCAACCGGTTAGAAAAGCTGCAAACAGGCGTAATACATACAGTGGCGATTAGCGTAAATTCTTCGTAAAATGGCGCTCTAATCTCCATTAATGCTTGCAAGGAGGTGAAGAACCGATCGTTGTAGTACTTCGGCCTTCCTTTATACTGTAGCCTGAACTTCATGTTGAACTCCATCGTGAAGAAGATGTCGTCATTTGTGAAGTCGGAGTCTATCGCGCTTATGGGAAGAATGTGGGTTAAGAGATAGTTTTCGGGGATTGCCATTTCAAAGTGGTATTCGTAAACCTCTTCGCTAAAAACTGGCGCGTTATCGTTTACGTCTTCTACAACTGCTTGAATGGTCTGAAATAGAGATACCTAGTTACGGATTTCCGGCAGGTTTCACTTACTATGGCTTCCGATGTGTCGTTCAAGCATTTGAACGTTATGACCACCTCGATTACTGGTGTACCATAGCTTTTGTAATCTTCTTCGAATGATTTAAAGTTTTGGTTTGGAAAGAGGTATAAAGTGTTGTCAGCGTAAGTGGCATTAAGGTATGTCGATTCTAGTTTGCTGATACCTGGAACAACGATGGTATTGTTGATATTTGCCAGAGAAATGTGATAAGATCCTGGTTGCACTAACCAAAAATTTTTTATGTCTCGAGAATATGTGTACAAAATTTATACAGACAGACAGACCGATCGACATCATTGAGACTTTGTTTGGTTTGGATTCCTGGTTTTTCTAAACGAGTATTTCCTTAAAAAAGTGGGGGGGGGGGCATTTTTTACCCCAATGCAATACCTCTCTTACTAACATGCGAGTGGAAAAAAATGAATGATCTCATGATTTAGGCGTACAGTAAAAAAATGGTAACACTTGATTCACGGTAGTGTTATAGTTCAACTAGGGTTATCTCCATAACTATACAACTTTCGACATATGTAAACTTACGATAATTAGTGATATCCGTGCATCTGGGCTTTGTGTAAACAGGAAGAGCTGATTAGAGATTAGTTAATTAAATTTCAAATTAGACCAATCCAAAATCGTTTCCCTTATTTTCAAACCAGCGTTGTAAGGCAAACGATTTTAATATGAAACTTGTTGAAATCCCCAGATTTGTATTTCCAGTTTCAAATTTCGTTCATTTAAATACTTCCAAAGTTTCTATGCTTTGTGTATTGCCATGGCTCTGTGAGCTTGGCCCACATTTTTATAGAACTTCATCACGTTATCTTTTTTTGCCTCGGTGAGACCTGCTCACCCATATCGTACTAAAACAGTTCTTTCCTTTTGGTGTTTATTCCTTGGATGTATTGTTCTATTATACCTACAATGTTCGTTTCCATACGCCTGCATGTCTTTGATTCCTAATCCTAGGCTTTCTAGTAAGGAGCTGGACCAATGACTCAACCCGAGGGTATAGAAAACTGGATTTTAACGTCACTTTCGCCACTCTTTGGCTCTCTTCACTATTGGGTTTCTTTTCTCTTCTACTCTTGAGACTATTGGTTGCTTTTTATCTGTAACCCTAGACAGGAGCTATCATCTTCAGTCAAATGAACCCAATTTCGCACAACACAAACAGCGCTGACTGCTCGCAATTTGGTGTAAACAAAATGTACACTCTCTTTAAACGTCCCGAAAACTATCAACAGCAGCAGTCACGTTTACCCGTTGTCTCCAGTATTTAAGGAAGGACCACTTCCACCATCACATAATCTCCTTCTTTATAAAATTTCAAATAAATCGCCAATCACAACAGAACGCGCCCAATCGTCTCCGCTTCTCCTAATGAAGCGCGCAATTCTTCGTAAAACCTGCATCTCCTAGTCAGCACCAGAAACGTACGCTAATTAATTTTTGTCTGAGAAAACTCCTTATCGCAAACGAGCAGGTGTCTTACTTTTAACACCTTATCTACATTGAATAAATTACAATAGCGATAAAATTTAAACAAAAATTACGTATCTACAAAATTTCTAAAACGAAAACCAGCACTGAGATGCAAATTCAAATGAAACGAACTGACTCTTTACTTAATTCGTAAATAATCTCCCAGATTTACTTAATAAATTGAAATATTCTCATATTAGTCCAGTAAATGCGTGTTTAAAACTACCGCTTTCGGAACAAAATTGCGGAAGTTTTTTTATCAACTGTTTTATATGTAATCGAATGTGCTGCATCCGAATTTATTGTTTGCTGCCTTGTAGGAAGTCGGCTTCATACCGAAATACGCAAAAAATTGGAATTTTTCTGTACTTTTTTCAGTTTTTGGCTTATATCTCAAAAACATACGTTTTTTTGAAGATGGGCGCCCTATACAAAATTGAAGGAAATAAAATTTTCTACAAAATACATTATTTAGCTTTTATTTTGCGATAAGCGGTACCCGCGCTAGAGTTCGCTAAAAAACCACGATTTTTTGAATTTTCACAAAAGCGCCCAGTACCTATCACCTCTTTCAAGTCGAGGAATAAACAAGTAATCAACAAAAAACTTAATTTTTGCACAAAACTGTGCCAGCAGTGTGAAGGGTCGTGCTCCAACATCGACGATAGATACGATGCAGAATGCGAAGGCGATCTGGATAAGCCAATTCCAGTCTTACCGCCTGAAGCGGCTGAAGAGACAGAAGGTATCAATTTATATAAGATTTTGCATCATTATTATGCATTTTTACTTAGTTTTTTCTAGTGTTACACTTTTCATAGTAACATTGAACAGTCACAAATTAGTATTCAGCCTAGACCTTCCACAGCTCCTGACTCTTTGATGGACTTTCGATTGCCCAAGACCCTTTACCTGGGCCTTCTAGTGGACGAATCAAAACAAAACGGAAACGTACAAATTAACTGTGGCTATGGTATGACGTCAAGTCACTCAAAGGAATGATGATCCTGTGCACAATCATTTCGTTTCACTGAGCTCTAGGGCGAAGACCGCTTATCACAAAATCAAAGTGCACTAGTGCATTTTGTAGGAAATGTTGTTTGCCTTAATTTTGTGTGGAACGCGCATCTTCAAAAAAGTGTAGTTTTTAAGATATAAGCAAATAACTAAAAAAAGTGCTGAAAAATTCCGATTTTTTGCGTTTTTGGCTATGAAGCCGATCTCCTATAAGGCAGCAAACCATAAATTTAGATTCAGCACCCTCGAAAACATATAAAACCGTTGAGAAAAAAACTTCCGCAATTTTGTTTTGGAAAAATCACCATTTGACTGGGCTATATGTATACGAAGTGTCCCGTCATTACTTTTGGTGTTTAAACCGAAATAATGTGTTCAAAATGATTTTACATGTGATTTTTTTTTTATTTTTTATTTTATTTTATTTTTATTTGGTTTTAAACGTGTATTTTGTTAAACATAGGGAAATTTACACATAAACCGCTTTATAGCGAACATGAATAAAAGTATGTCTGGCGATAACAAGTCACCTATAGGGGAAATCGAGCACGGTTGCCACAAGTTTCGTTCCGTTCTGTTTACAGTTGAGTACGGGACATAAATGCAGGTTTACTATTCGTTTAAAAAGGTACGCTAGTCGAGCGTTGCGTTCAGAACTTCTAATGCTCGGCGAAACTTAAATAGCGAGAGAAATGGGAGAGCGAGCATTCTAAGCTGATTTTCGCGAACGATCACGTACAAACGCCGGTGTGCGAAAAATTAATACGCCGTAGACATTTTTAATATGAGAAATATCCTCCTATTCGGATAGTAGTAAAAAATTAGCAGTTTACCTTCTCATAATAGCTATTTATATATCAAGTACATAAACTGGGTCTTTATGAACGAGCCTGCGAGCGAGGCACAAATAAACAAGGCGAGTCCCCATAAAGCCTATTCATGGACGCGATATATACAAAGCTTTATGTACGACTGCAACAACCCTCAAAAATGAAAATTTCATGAAATTCAATAAACGATCAAATCTATATATCATTGACAACAGATGTCAAGCATTTGTCAAGTATTTCTAAAATACTTGAATTTACCTTGGACACCTAAGTATGACTGTCACATTGATAGGCTGCCGTTTTACTTTATCAATATGGACTAGGCCATAATATTGCAAATTATGGCCACTAATTGCGACTGTAATCACCGCATTATCAAGCAGTCGTACATAAAAAAACGTATTAAGTAACGAGAACTCGTAAATGTCTAAATTACAGTAAATTACGGAAGGAGCCTTTTATTTATTGCTGTAACCCCTTAACTTCATCTCAAAAACAACACTTCTCAAATCTAGCTAGCTCCTTAATATAAAATTTCACTCGCAGTACACATCCGCTACCCGGCACAACATAATAATTCAATTCTGACTATAAATTCCTGATTCCAAGCAAACAATGGTCAAGATCAATCTTCTTAAATTCCAAAAAAGTAATTTATCAAATTATGAAATAAACTTGGGGCGCGAATCAATCAAATTAAACGTAATTGACCGTGAGACATCTCTTTTCGTCGTTAACGGGATCGATTGAACACACTATACTTTCATGATATTACACTAATAAAATTTATTCAACGACCACAAATAAAAATAAAACATGAATCCTAATTATAAAACTTGGACCATAGCGCCCGAATAAACAAACATCAAAAAGCCTTAATCTTACTTACAGTTTTTCAAGTGACAATATCCCAATACGATCCAGATACAACACTAATTACTACCGGAAACAATACATTACACGAACGTAAGGCACACAAAACATGGTCTTAATTCCAATTCCCCAAACAGGTTGTATAGACGTTGATTGTAGTAGGTATATCGCTGCACACAAAAATACGCCACCGATGACAATGGCAACTGCTGGTTAAAGCAAGTTCCTCAAAGTTGGGCAACGTCTTTGGACAGCGCCTTGTGCGATAAATAAAATTTTGTAAACAACGGCATACGGCAAGGAATTTAAAGGTTAAGATTACTACAACTGTGTCAGAGAGAGAGGAAGCAGTGAAATCAAGTTATTGTGTGTCGCGTGGTATCAGGTTTTTGGTTTTCCGCTAGATTGAATAGTATTTTGTGTACGAAAACTCGAAAAACTGTGAAAAGTAATTTTAATATTCCTAAAGGAATGGACCCGAGAGAATGTATTTGCATGAAACAGATTTTGTATTGTATTTATTGATAAGAATTGAATCCAAGTAAAGGATTTTAGTTATTTTGTGTCGTTGATTGGAAATTAGATCACGAGTTGGAACCGGAACCGATGCCGTTATTATGAGTGCCAAAGAAGCGGATTTTTTGGTTTTCTGTCTTTCTTGTCTAGTAGAGTGGACAAGTTGCGTTGGTTTTAAAGTGTTGGTGTTAAAAACTTTGTTTAGATTTTTAACATTAAACATATGACATATGGTGGTTATTATTAACCCTTTAATATCATGACCATCTTATTATGACATAAAGATCGGTATGTAAACTTTGCCATTAAATATATTTTTTAATAATAACTTTAATTACTGAAGCCACAGAACCAGAATCGGTACTGCACCCTTAAAAACTAATTCTATCCAAGTAGCACGGAACCGGAATCTATATGGGTTCCTTGCCTTCCCATCCCTTGGTACGCGAAACCCATTGTGCCCTTGCGTCATTGATTTGTGAATCAATTCCAGACATACGCTAAAACACTGAAACATCTATCAAGTGTGCGAAATCTATAAACTTGTCTGAAATTGATTCAGAAATCAATGACGTAGGGCCACAAACTCCCGATTTCAAGTGTAGGTGTATCTTTGATATTTACCTACTTACGCACAGTACAAAGGCGGGAATAAGCGCACAAATCAATTTGTTACCTTTGAATCCTCATTCATTAAGATCTGTTTCTATGAATAGTCTTACTATTTCGTACCTGTACCTAGTACGTGGGAACTTTTATCAAAAGGGTACTTCAGATATCGCCCAGAAACAAATGTAACTAAGCGTATAAGGTTTCGACAGCATCATCTAATCCCTTTAAAAGTACCTAATTAAAAAAATTCACCAAAAAAAGACGCGACTGTGTCTGCACGTAAGTAATAATTAAGCATGAACTTTGATTACCCACCAATTATGTGTTGAGTATTAAACTGCACAAACGCAAACTCCTGATTGTCCGGAACTTTCATCTTTAACCGCTTCCCGTTAAGCCAGTCAGTTTTACTAACCCCCTCAATTTCGCACGGTGCTAAAATGGTTTTCGATATTACTGTCTTGAAAAAAATGATAAATAACTTACAGTTATATCCTGCCATTGTGTAATGAATAATTGCGGTCAGTATAATTACTCTCATCTTTGATACACTATTCACAATAAGTGTTAAAATGCGATTATACGATTACTTTTTTTTTATATTAATCAGTAATATCGATTGATGTTTATAAAATCAAAGGTTATTGTAATAGTCATTTGTGATTAACTTTGTTGGTAGGAGATAATACTTTTTAAGCGCGTATGACACAAAGCAAGTGGACTTCTGGTTTAAATTTAGCGCACTCGTTTTATGGTACGTGCCAGTTTAGCGCGTCACAACTCGTTGACAATGAAACTGGAAACAAAGAAGAAACTTACAAATTAATTTATTATAATACTTCGTTGTTATATGTTACACTAATACTTTTCAAAGGTAGGCTTTCTTTGTTTGTTAAAAAATATAGCTAGGATGCAAACGTTAATTAACAGTATTGCTAAAATTGCACTAGAAAATAAAACTGTTGGGTATCCCATGGAGTATCCGAATATAAATATGTGACATTCACTGGATATCATCATATCCGAAAACTCGATTAGCAACGCGGTACGTCCTGGACTGCTCACCCCTTCATTTAGGGATTCAAGCTCCACAACGACGAAACCCTCCAAAATTATCTCTTGGGGCAACTCCTTAATCGCGCGAACAGTTACTGTCTCGTTTTTCAAAGTGGCATTAAAGTACTGATAGTGTTTGGTGATATTAACAGCAGTGGTATTCGTCAAACCGTATCGAATAGTGATCACATCTTCCATTTCAATTTGGTGGGATTTGTTGTAATAGGCCATGTAGAAATTCTTTCCAAAAACTGGTGGATGGTGGGCTTCGGAAATATTCTGGTTAACTATATCAGAAGGTTTCAATACCCTAACGGTAATCAGCGCTCTAGTTTTTAAAGGTGGATCTCCGGAGTCCTGCAAGGAATATTCAGTTAGTAATATGCGGGGCGGGGGAATTGTCTTACAGTCACATTCAATTCAAATTCCTGGCTGAAAGGCGCAGGTATTTCTTTTAACGCGGTTAGCTTTGGCGCGTATTCTTTCTTTGTATACCTAGGCACTGTCTTTTCTATCTTGAAGAACTCATTTTGGGTCATTTCGAAATTTAACTGCTTGTTGGTGATGTCACCATCAGTTGCTTTAATAGGCAGCAAGTCAGTCAGGATGAAGTCTTTGGGTATGCTTGGACCAAATGCATACTCAAAGTTTGACTGATCGAGTTGAGGTGCATGGTTGTTCGTGTCGAGAACCCGTTGAGTGAAAATCTAAAATTTTGTTAATCTATCTTTAAGATTCATTAGCGCAAAATTGATTTGGTACCATGTGATTATTGTTAGATTCCGTACATTGAAGCTCCAGAGCAACGGAAATAACCAGCGTGTTTGTTGAGGGTTCAGCTTCGGCTTCATATTGGGGAAAGTTATCACCAGTTGCAAAGGTTAACGTGGTGTCGTTCAAAGTGACTTTAAAATATGAATCCCCTTTCGGTATCACTCCTAAAGCAGAACGATGAAACGGTGAACTTTAAGAAAATGATCTTACTTTGCACATTTTTCATTTGAAAAACCTCAAGAATACCACGATAAGTGTCATTTATGGGTTTAGTCAGTTCATGACTACCTGCACCTATATCTACCCCATCAAGAAAACACGTGGATGCTGAAACAGGGTGGCTATAGGTAAATCAGTGGCATTAAATACTCACGCACCTCCTCGAGTAGAAGAAATTAAGGGAAGAACACCAAAAACGAGGAAAAATGTTAACGACATAATTGAACCTAGTTACCACAGTAGGTAATGAGTGGGTAGTGTACTTACGACCGATACTTATCAAAGCCTTTAATCAGCACGTAAGATTACGCGAAACTTCACATTATTTGCGATAATTAACAATTTACCTGCTTCACGTCGTTTACAACAAAGAAAATTGCAAGTATTCCGAACGCATACTAAAATAGACTACTACACACACAGCAGATATGTATATAATACATTTGTGTACGCGATTAAAGTTCATCTATAAATAATTAAAAACATTGTTCTTTTCTTAACATTTTTGTTATCACAAAAATTATGTTCTTTATCAAGAATATTATGATAGCATTTTTGTTGTTATCTACCTACAGGCGCCAATAAAAAGTCTTGCCTATTATGTGACGATTTGAAAGACTAGTATGACTATTTTTCCTGGGTTTAGTGCCTCTAGCGGTTTAGTAATGTCATTGTATATACACTTTCTTTATACAATGGTAATGTTGAAGATTTAAAACAATTATGTTCTCAGCAAGTCGTCGGTAGGTAGGTATTATATGTTAATTTAAATCATAACAGATTAAACCGTTAATTGCAGTAGGTACAAACATCCAAAGCTCATCCACTGTTTATTTACACGATAAAGGGACCTACCCACAAAGTGGAAAACCTTGTACCTATCTATGTATGTAGCGCAATCACCTTGAATCATACACCAATTTCATTATTGCTAATCGAATTCAAAGAACAATTAATCAATCGTTTAACCACTACAAATATTAAACATTTGCAATGTTGTAAATCACATTCGCGGGTCTTTTAACATGTGCACATAATAAATAAATTAAACAAATATAGCAAACGAGCTCTTGGGTATGGCTATAACATGTGCAAAACCAAACTTTAAACCTGATGTTAGTTTTGCTTTTATTTAAAGTGTATATGTATGAAATTTTATTTAATTGCTTCCATAAATAAGAAAGTTGGCACTGCATATCCTGCATAAAACCAAATTTGGAAAATGGCGCTGCATTTGCTTTTATTCCAAGTGGCTATGTATCAAATTTGACTTAAATGCCTCCATAAATAAGAAAGTTGGCACTGCGCATGCGCAAAACCAAATTTTGAAACTGGCGTTAAATTTGGTTTTATTCCAAGTGGCTATGTGTCAAATTTCATTTAAATACCTTCATAAATAAGAAAGTTTGCGGTCTGTAAATGGTCGAGATGCGCAAAGGGCACATTGAATGCTGATCGATTATACTCAACTTTTGGAATTTTGTTTTATGTGGCTAAAGCTATGCGCATATTGAATTTCATCCAATTCGGTGCATAACTAACGGAGATGTCAAAAGGGTCTACTTTATTTTTTCGTCTACATGGCCAATTCAGGAACTCCGATCTACAAATTTGATAAAGAATTCACCTGCAAAGTTTCATCGTAATCGCTCCATTCGTTTATGAGTTATCGTGCTAACGGACGGACGGACAGACACCGCAAAATTATAAACTCGCTAGGAGCTCGTTAATAATGGTCCAAGGTAATAACGATGGCTGTCACCAGACCCGATTTTGTTCTCCATCATAGCATTTAATCACTTTCTCATTGAAATTGGGGTATAGATAAAGATTTTGGGGTCTCTCTCTCTCTCTGGTCCAAAATAATTTAATTATTGGCTAATCAAGGATCAAAATGAAACAAGTTATGGGAACAATTAAGTTTAAAATTGTGAGGAGTGAAGAAAATAAATTTTCTGCTTTTTTCGTAAGTGGCACACTTCCCATCTAATGTACGATTAGGTACACTTTGGGAGTGGTCATTAGGTGCGCTCTTAAAAAACTTTGAATTTTGATACCTCGACCTTAAATTTTATAACCACGAATTCGATTGACGCAAAGCTGTACCGGCACAATAATTTTGTTACGACACGTGTAAGGTTGTGATTTCTCTCAAATTTCAATTGCACACTTGCATTTCCCGCACGAGGGACAAGTTACAGATCCCAGGGATGGGCTCCTGCTAACAACTCTTCGGTTTTGAACCTATATGTGCGACATGATTTAGGTTTCAGTAATTTCACTATATTCCGTAGTTTTAAAGTTGAATTTGCCTTCCAAGGCCCGGTAATTTTCCATGTTTTATTGCACCAAAGACGAGTCACGGCCGCCGTGTTTTGTTATCTGTATGTTTTGTGAAAGTAGGCGATTTATATTTATCATTCTTTATTATCAATCTGTGGTGACCGTGACATACCCCTGCGGTTAGGCAGCACACTAAATCTGTATGTGAATGTAGATTTTTGAATTACCGTGTGTATATAAGAATTTACAACACCAAACTTAACAGTGCATAATTTTCATTCGCAGTTTAAATTTAAAGCAAATGAGGCGCGCAATTCGGTTTCGCGTGGTAAATAAAAGGCGAACGCGCAATCATTCGCATTAATTCAGAACGCGTGAGGCAAGCAAGGTAAGCTTGACGTATATTTTATCAATGCGGACTCTTTGATTTTATGTGGCGTCTAATTCATTGATATGTAATGAAAAAATTGCTAAATATCGTTCCACAAGTGCTTTTCCGAACACATCAACAATTGATCTAGGTGAAGAAGCAGTGTCAACACCAACCGAGAACTTTCGAAGAGTTTAAATGCTTTCTAATTTCTACTTCATGTACGAGGAGGCAGCTATTGCATGTACTACGTGCAGCTTGCGTTACAACGCCAGTAGTTAAGCGGGGGAATTTATAGTTGAATTTTTCATTAGAATATCCATTCAAATTTTATAATCAATGTAAGATAGAATTTCCAGTTACGCTTCCAATCTTACATGGAATTGTTTTTATTTCTTAAATTGTAACCTATAACGTTTGCATCATAAATAAAGCGACGATGTATTAATACCTACATTTGACGTATTTATTGATTTAAAGGTATAATTCAGGTAGCGTATCGATTTTAATTTTGATGGGATATTTATTTACCACATAATACATAACAGGTATTTATAATAGGCAAAGCTAAAAAGGCAAGTTTCATACAACGTGAAGGTACGTGCATTTGACAGTATTTATTGATTTTTGTACGACCATGTTTTTTCTGGTTTTTTCGTGCCTAATCCATTTTTCTTTTCACAAAACTCTTCCCTTCCCGATTGTGTCTCATATCCCAACACATTAAAGAATTGATATAGTATAACACAATGTAGGAGTTCTATCCATACCACTTGGTTCGAACCGACTACTGTCGAGATTTGAAAGTGCACGAAACATGACATCGACATGAAAGTTTTATGGCTCCACTTGTAATCCTTCCCCCCAGAGTTGCCAACGGTAATTATAGGGGGACCTCTAAGATCATTACAAATCATTTAATCCCAACAAATTATCTTACACATTGACAACATTTTCACTATTGCTTATTGGAAATTATTGTCTCGACATTCCGATGGTGTTTTTAAACGCCGTTTTTATTTTCGTAGGTGAAGTTAACTTAGAATCCACCTCAAATTAGGTGAGATTTACATATCATCATGTGTGAAATTTTAATGATTCACCCTATACATGTGCTCACATAAGTTTCTAACTTCAGTGTGATACCAAAATGACAGTTGACATGACATGACAACTTGTTTGACAGTTGTTTGTTTTTATTTTTTTGTGTATGTTAACATATTGCTCCGAATTTGTTATTATTTCTGAATTATTCTTCTACATATCTCTCTCTAATATTCTGTAATGGCAGAAAGATATCAATTAACTGAATGCTTACAGGTAGGTGCAGTCTGTTACAATTCTTCCTTATGCAAAATCTCTTCGGAAGGTGCTTATGAAAGGCGTCCCGATTGAAGATGCCATATTGCAAGTATTAGGCAGTAAACGTATTCCATCTAGTAGCTCTGATAAACAAAGGTTTCGTCTATTGCTATCGGACGGCAAATACTTCATTTCTTTTGCTATATTAGCTACACAAATCGACGATGCGGGTGTTAGTGGGGAGCCTTCGCAATATTCCATAGTAAAAATCAAAAAGTGTATAATTACTATGATTAGCAATGTGGAAAACGACAATAAGTGGGTATAGGTTGTGATAGAAAAATTGTACAATTAAGGTTTGTAGACCTGTTTTAGTTATAACGGAAATGGAGACCCTTGCTTCTGGGGACCAGACCAGTAAAATTGGCTCTCCAGTGCGCTTGCCAGATGAACTTATGAAGGATGTTAAGAACAATGTTGTCAGTTCAACTACGTCATCTATTGTAAGCAATGTTAACAGTCCACACAAAAATCAAATTGACACAAGCATGTCGATTCAAGGCGATCAAAACATCAGCTCGACAACTGTAGACACCAACGTAAATAGTCCTCACAAAAATGGTGCGGATACAAATATACGACATCAGTTCACACATCCAATCTCAAGCTTGAGTCCCTATCACAATAAGTAAATATAGCAACTCAGAATGTCCACAAATAACTTTATAAAATGATAGGTGGGTGATCAAGGCACGTGTCGCTTGCAAATCTTCAATTCGTACCTTTAAAAATTTCAGAGGTGAAGGTAAACTGTTCAGCGTGGATTTAATAGATAAAAGTGGCGAAATCAGGGCGACAATGTTTGGTGATCTTGTTGATACATTCTACAATTTGATTGAGGTAAGTTTAGCCGATGATTGGCAACTTTGAAATAAAAGTTTCAGTTGGACAAAGTCTATTATGTAAGTAAAGGCCGACTGGAATTTGCCAATAAGCAATTTAATAGTCTCAAAAACGATTATGAGATTAAGTTTACTCCTAATACAATTGTGGAGGAGTGTCACGAGGGGGCGGAGTCTGTGCCACAAACTTCGTACAATTTTGTTTCGATTGATAAAATTGCAGACATTGAAGTGGATACTGTGATAGGTAAGAACGATTAATTGAAGGGAGAAGTTGATTCACATTGCACTTTTAAAGTTGGATAAAGAGAGAGATATCTTTTAAATGAAATAGCTATAACACTGTACTCCTTGTCTCTCTCTCTTGTAAGTTAAATTGCTTTTTTGATAATAATAATAATAATAAATGACCTTATTAGACATTTTTTACACATCCTCTTTGAATGGCGGAATTCAGACAGGGAAAGCATGCGTGTCTGCTATTCCACTCAATTTTTTTTTAATTTTGAAAAACGATTTGGTTTTTTTTGTTCAAATATAGCCGATTCCACATTTTGAGGAGATCGGAATTTTTATTTGCACCTTCATTTGGAACTGAAGTTGGAATTGTGGAAATAATTTTCAAAACCAAAAATGACATCATACATTAAAATCGCAAACTAATGGCTAGTTCTGATTTTTATCGCACTTTCCTACTCATGTAGCTTTGTGTACACTCATCAAAATAAATTCCAAGAAATCTCCTATGGAATTGGATGTATTTTTTTTTATCATTATAGGCTATACGGAACTTATTGTCTATTATGGAAGCACAAACTATGTAAATTACATAAGAGATCGTCATACTCCTTCAACTTCAATCAGCCAACACATTGTCAGAGTATAAAGTTAGGCAATACATCAATCTGCACAATGTTGTGCACAACATAAATAACAGTGGTCCTACGATCAAGCCTTGTGGAACTTCTCAACTGATAGTTAATCATTTTCAATTATTTTTAAATTTGCTAGCTGATATTGTCTTTTCCCCTTAAGGTAAGACCGACACGTCTTTATCCTCATATGTTTATTCTGATCCCCCTCCGACATTTTGTTTTATTTTTTATTTATTTATTATTACTATTAATATTTTTTTTTTATTTTATTGCCTTTATGTTATAGTGGGCGGAGTGTTAGCAATTTGCTACTCTTCCCACTCAACCCACTATACAATCACAAATAGCCATACCTTACCTGGGAATTGAACCCAGGACCCTTGTAGCCAAAGTAATACAAATTTAATTGTAAATTTCAAAAATGATTGCTATACAATTTTGTTGTAGATGTTTTAGGAGCATGCAAAAGTACATCCGACCTTCAAATGTTACAATCGAGGTCTACGGGAAGAGATCTAAAGAAACGCGAGCTCACTTTAGTAGACCAAAGCAACAATGCTGTAAGACCTAATCTTATTTGGTAGAAACAATGCCGATTCTTTCAGATCACCCTATCACTTTGGGATACGGAAGCGGAAACATTTGATGGCTCCTCACAACCAGTGTTACTCCTCAAACGCGCAAGAGTGTCCGAGTATGGCGGCGGAAAAACGCTATCTACAAATGCTTCTACATTAATGAAAATTAATCCGGATATTCTCGAGGCGTACCGTCTTAAACGTTGGTTTGACAATGAAGGTCGATCGCAAGCTGCCCTCAATATAAGCTCTGGGTAAATGGATACATTTTACAAACTTTTTTGGTTAAGTTCAAATGTAGGTGGGTGGGTGATAGTTCACAAACCCAATGGATTAACCTCAAGGACGTTCACGAAATGGGCCTGGGACATGGTGAGAAAGGTGATTATTTCCAAGTTTTCGCCACCATACTTCTGTATCGTTCCGAAAATGGAATATACAAGGCCTGCGCAAAAGAAGACTGCAAAAAGAAGGTAGCTGAAGGGAATGGAATGTATCATTGTGACAAATGTAAGCGAGAGTACCCCAACTTTAAGTATCTGTTATTGGGATCAGTATGAGCACCATATTATTCAAGTTCATATATACTGATTTGTCAGTTCTAGGCCAATATTGCTGATTGGAGTGGAAATATCTGGCTCAGTTTGTTTTCTTCGGAAGCCGAGAAAGTATTAGGGGTGAGTTCGCAGGCTGTTGGTGAGGCAATTGAGAGAAATCCGCAAGCGTTAGCAGAGTTTGCAGATAAGGCACATTTGAAAGAGTTTCTTTTCAAATGTCGAACCAAGATGGATTATTTTAATGTAAGTATTATTATTCGCTTGCTACATATTGTTCTTATTTTTTTTTTAATTGTAGGATGAAAATCGTCTGAAGACTGTCGCCCTTAGAGTGGATCCGGTGAATTACAAAGAGTATAACTCTTACCTGATATCACAAATTAACGAGTTACTAAATTAAATGCGGGCACCCATTTTCATTTTGTGATCACGTTTGAAGTTAAAACTAAATTATTTAGTTGTGATTCAATTGGACAAATTCAAGTATTTATTTTTACAATCATCTGATTCCATTATTATTATATTATTAATACTTTTTATAGTTTATATTTTAAAATTGTTTACTAACGTTACTAAATATTAAAATAAATATTGCATACTGACCATTAAATAATTGGGGCTGGAGGAAGATAAAAGTAATAAAATCATCTGATCGTGCCAAAAATATCGGAGCAAGAAATACAAAAGAATTTTAAAAAAAGATAGGGTGCTATCTCGGGAATTGGTTTAAAGTTAATTCCAATCACAAATTATGGCCATCATCACGACGCAACGAATAATTGCGCATAGGGCACGCCCTTATATTGTGCACTCATTATGAGAAATGAATACCCTCGTCAATGTTGTGCATCATAAAAGCGCCATGCAAATTATTACCTCTTTAATTCAATGAATCAATGCTAAATGAAAAGAAATCATGATGCATTATGGCAAATATTGTTTTTTGATCTATGAACAAAAACGCTAAGAAACCGCATACAAATTTTAATAAGTGTAGATGTTTTCATTTTTAGGTGACCATATGGGAAAATGCCCATCCTTTCATTGTCTAAAAGGTGGAGGGGGGACGCTCCGTTCCTCTTCTAATGACGCTGCCTCTGGTGCCGGAAGCATTCCTCTCATGCAGCTCGTATCTTGCTAATGTAAAGGCGTGTGTAATACTCAAGTCTGTGGTTCCCAGAAACGGGATGCGCTATGCATCAAGAAATATAAATCTAGTAATTAGGACTGTGTCAACCTTGTCGACGAGGATTACTAATAAATCTTTAATAAATACAAATGTGTTCTGTATAATTCAAAATTTCAATTTGACAGCTACGTCGCGATTTTGGTCTAAATATGAGAAATCATCTACCATATCCGGTCTCATTTTTTCCATTCCATTGTGTTCCTTGGCCCCAAAACGTGGGGCTAGACCCTTGATCTGTAAAAATCGGGCATTTTAAACGAAGTTTTACACCAGAGTGATCCAAAAACCGCCATATTGGACGTCATCTTGAATATTTCGCGTCCAGCCGATTTTCAGACTTGGAAACAGGCAGAATCGGATGTGTCGAAATATGAGAAAATCGCTTGTACTCCCTGCATCAAAGGACACCTAAAACCATTTTTAATGAAAACCTTTCTTCCATTCTGTATGAATCGCCCTGTACAAAATCGTTTAGGGACTTTTCGTATGTAACTAGTAACTAGTTTAAAGCATTATATATGGTTTAAAGTGATTGACCACTGACAGTTGATGGCTTTTTGCGCCAAAAATCTACAGTATTTCTACCGTTTTTGTTAATTGTGTAATTAGATTAAGTCAATTTGTGTTTAATCTTCTACAATGGCAGACAAATACCAATTAAGTGAAGGCAGCTTACGAGTAGGTGAAATTAGTTAATCTAATACTCATATTCTATAAAACTTCTTCTCAAGGTGATTATGAGTGGGGGCAAAGTTGAAGATGCTATAATGCAAGTGTTAGGCACTAAGCGAATTGCATCTGGTAGCTCCTCCGATAAAGAAAGGTACCGTCTACTTCTATCAGATGGCAAATACCTCATTTCTTTCGCAATGTTAACTACACAAAACAATGATAAGATTGTTAATGGTGAACTCTCCGACAATTCCATAATAAAAATCAAAAAGTACATCACCAGCGTTATTAACAATGTGGGAAAAGTGAACAAGTGAGTGTAGATTTTTGATTATAAGATTGTACCATTTAGGCGGGTAGACGTGTTTTAGTTATATTAGAAATGGAGACCCTAGTTCCTGGCCATAAGTCGAGTAAAATTGGTTCTCCAGAACAATTGCCGGAGGATGATAGCGAACCACTTCCCAGTGAGACTAAAAATAACACTGTCAGTTCGAGTACGTCATCTACTGTGCCACAAGTTAATGGTTCTCACAGAAACGACACTGACGTAAACATGTCCATGCAAGACCAGCTAACGCATCCCATTTCAAGCTTGAGCCCCTATCAGAATAAGTAAGTGCATTTATTGGGAATATCCGCAGTTAACATTGAACGATAGGTGGGTGATCAAGGCACGTGTCAGTAACAAATCCTCAATTCGCACATGGTCAAATTCCAGAGGGGAGGGTAAATTATTCAATATGGATTTAATAGACGAGAGCGGTGAAATTCGAGCAACAGCATTTCGCGATCTTGTGGATAAATTTTACGACTTAATCGAGGTAAGCTTTTGGGTATTCGGGTTTGTTCCAAAATTCGGAATTTTAGGTGGACAAAGTGTATTACATAAGCAAATGTCAACTGAAAATCGCCAATAAGCAATTTAGTAATCTCAATAACGACTACGAGATGACATTTACCCCCGACACAATCGTGCAGGAGTGCCATGATGTGGTGGATTCTATACCTCAAACCAGATACGACTTCATCTCGATTGATAAAATTGCACACATTGAAGTGGATACAATGATAGGTAAGGGTGGGGAAGCTCCCAATGTTTTGTCAATGGGCGAGGGGGAGGGGGAAACATATTTTTCAAATGAGACTCCTCCCTCTTTTTGTTAGGCGGATTTTGTTTTAAAACAAAGTATGTCATCTTGAATTCTTGTAACCTCTTTCTAATTTATGGCCATCTTGTGTAGACACCGAATTAATTTCAGATTGCATAGTATACTTCCAGTTATTACAAAATGTAATCTGTAAATTTTCTAAATCTGTGTATTATTTTCAATGTACAGGATCTGCCAAAAATATGTGATGTGTCCTGTAATTTTTTTGAATTTTACACTGGAATTAAGATTGAGTTGGAGAAACAGATTGGATGGTTTGCTTTTTCCTTTGGGAAAATCACTGTACCCTACACTACACACTGGTGTACACTACTAGCATTTCGTAGAATTTTTGTAGGAATTTTTTAGGATCTAATATTTTTTTACGTAGGTATTTTAGAATTTTCTAGAATTTTTTAGAATTCTCCAGAATTTTTTTAGAATTTTTTTAAATTTCTTTTTGAAGTTTGGATGTGGTCTTTTACAGAGATCAATTATAACAACTGTTAAAAAGTATGATTTAAAAAAAACTTGAAATGAATCATATTTTTTTATTTAATGGTGAGTTTATGTAACTGTGTAATTTAGTTTAACTTTAATTTATGTTTAAATTGTCACTGATTGATGACGTAAAGGAAGTGTTATAACGGAAGCTGAAGCGGAAACAGAAGACAAATTTTTTTGCGGGAGCAGAAAAGAGGAATTATAATATTAAATAAAATTATAAATTTGATAAAAATAAATAAAAAAAATTGCACTATTTACAATATGTTTGATCGCAGAAATTCATGATTGTTTATTCAAATTTTTTAAAAAACGCCATTTTTCAGTTTTTCCAATTTTTCTATTTTAAAAGATATTAAAATAATGTTTCATCTCCGAGACACGTCATCAACTTCAATTTTTTATAGAGCCACAAAAATAGAAACACTGTGGCCCCATGTTGGGCGCCAAAAATGAATGCTGTGTAATGGTATACGGTCAAAACACCACCCAACACACTTACCTAGCTAGCTCATCATGCACTATTTTTTTTAAATTTATCACAGTGCACGAGTGGGTTCTGACAAACAAGAATCCTAAGGTTTACTTATACTTAAAATTTTGAAAGATTCGAAGGCATCAATCAAATTCCATAAATTCCAACAAAAACGAATTTTGAAATAGATCAGATAAATACCATCTGCACAGAAAGAGCTTAAAGGAAAAATAAAATTCAAACTGGGATTCAAATTGACATTTCATTCATAAAAAGAGATGACACAAATTAATTCTTAACTGCGGAATTTAACGCAATAATGACATACGCTTTTCCAATCGACTCGAAAACAGCAGAGTTTATTTCTTAGTTTTTCTATTTAAAGGTGAAACTACATCCATTCATAAGTTACATATTGTTGTTCCTCGCCGTCGCTCGCTATTCCCACCGCATCGCCCGAACTCCAAACACCTGCATTCGTTATCTTGTACGTGGCGTTGTTAGCAAACAAGGCCGAGTGATTTTCTCAATGCCACCTTTTCAAAAATCTGACCTGATAAAACTTTTACCTTACGTCGAACTTATGATTAAATTATTTATGCGTTTTAAAATGCAACAAATACCATTAAATGACTTAAACAATTACTAAATTTACAATAAAAAAATGACAATGTAATAGATTTTCCAAGTGTGTGCCTATTTGAAAATAATTTCCCAGATATGAAATAAATTTAAACATTTTACATACAGGATGTCCCAATTGCTACAATACGTAAACCGGAATGACTTTGAAAGTGTGCGCAGATCTCAAGGTCAGAGTGGGCTCATACTACCGACCTTACTTACCTACTTTCGGAAGTTATTAAAAATTTTGTTCTAGATGTTATCGGAGTATGCAAAAGCGCGTCCGACGTCCAAATGTTTCAAGCGAGATCTACAGGGAGGGACTTAAAAAAACGCGAACTCACTTTGGTGGATCAAAGCAACAATTCCGTAAGAAATAAATGATATAATCGATCGAAGAATGCAAATTGGTTTTTGTAGATCGCCCTAACCCTTTGGGGTACAGAGGCGGAAACGTTCGACAGCGCCTCCCAACCGGTAATAGTCATTAAAGGCGCGAGAGTGTCTCAGTTCGGTGGCGGAAAAACGCTCTCCACGAATGCCTCTACAGTCATGAAAATTAATCCGGACATTCCGGAAGCGCATCGTCTCCGAGGCTGGTTCGACAATGAAGGTATATCCAAGACTACGGTCAATATTAGCGCCAGGTAAGCGATTTATATTCTTGCTAAGCTTTTGGTAATGGTGAAGCATAGGTCGGAGGGCGGCGGGTCACAAACTCAATGGATTAACGTTAAGGACGTTCAGGAAATGGGCATGGGACAGGGTGACAAGGGCGATTATTTCCAAGTTGTGGGCACCATACTTCTGTACCGTTCCGAAAACGGAATATACAAGGCCTGTCCAAAAGAAGATTGCAAGAAGAAGGCAGCCGATCAAGGGAATGGAATGTACCGATGCGACAAATGTAATCGAGAGTACCCCAACTTTAAGTATCTGTTACTGGGATCAGTATGGGAACCACATTATTCGTTTTGCTAGGTACTGAATTCAGTGTTTCTAGGCCAATATTGCCGATTGGAGTGGAAATATCTGGCTCAGTTTGTTTTCTTCGGAAGCAGAGAAAGTGTTGGGCATGAGTTCTCAGGCTGTTGGTGAAGCAATTGAGAATGACTCGCAGGCGTTAGTTGAGATTGCGGACAAGGCGCACTTTAAGGAGTTTATCTTTAAGTGTCGCTCTAAGATGGAAAATTACAATGTAGCTATCGTTTACGTGTGATATAACCTTTCTCTAATTTGTGTTTGTTTGAAGGATGAAAATCGTCTGAAGACTGTGGCTCTTAGAGTGGAACCGGTGAATTTCAAAGAGTACAACTCTTATCTAATCTCACAAATAAACCAGTTACTGAATTAAATGCGGGTATTTGATTGCAAGTGTTGTATATGTTTTAAGTTATTCTCTGTATAATTTAGTTTGTTTCATATGGGAATCTTACTCTGTTTATACTAATGTTATAGTTTTGCATTGCCTTTAAATACAAAAGTTTGATATCAGAAATTTTTGCAGTGTGGCCGTTACAATTTTGAACCTTAGCATATCACCATATTGTAGCATAACATCTTGTCAAACAATGACGCTCTTAAATTGCAGATGGCGCGCTTCTAGTGGACTATTATGTGTACTACTGACTACTGTCCATACGTCACTACAGCTGTATCAGATCTAGAGCTATTGCTCTTTTTTCGCGATTTGGTTCATTATATGGTGCTGAGACTTAATATTGGATTGCGCATATGTAGACCCAAACTTTCACAATATGTAGACGGACTTTTTTTTGATATTTTTAAAGATGCATTTTTTATTATTTCTATGTACTTTAACATTCTTCTGAAATTTCAGCAGAAGATACTTCTTATTCTTATTAATGAAATTTATCATTAATATCAATAAGTTAATAACAAGCAACCACCATCGACATATAATAAGTATATGGTAACCACTATAATGTTAAACCATTGAATAAATATTCAGATTCTTTATTCAATGGTTAAACCTAAGAACGGTTCCGGTTCCAACCCTAGCTTGCTATGTACCTACACAAATTGCATGTATTTTCACAAAACAATTTTTAAATCAAACACTCTGCTTGCCCAAATTATACAAGGCTTAAATTACTGCACACCTAAACACACGTGACACAATTTAAAACCTTAAATCTAAAATTATACCTCCAATGCTACCTAAATTATCTAACCGAAAGAAGTTTAATGTTAATCAAGACTGGCATATAAACATAAAACATTACTTGGACAACTTAAACAACCATAATCAATGCTACTACAAAAAGTGCAAATGGGCAACGGTGTGGGCAGTTTGCCGGGTGAACAGACACCTGTTTCTGACATTAGGTGGCAAAAAACAAAAATAACATAACCTTGTTTTTGTTTGTTTAATTGTTTAGAAATCTTTTTTAAAACACCAACTTAAATTAAATGTCTTTTTTATTAAAAACCGTTACAAATACGCTTATGCGAAGTAATTTCAGAAGTGTCCTAAATAAAAATATAAAATGCACATATTTACTATTTGACACTACTTTTACCAAGAACGAGAATCAAAAATCGACCAACAACAGCCTTATGTATGGGGTGGCCATTGCGTCAACATGGATAGCATACAAACTCTTCAAAAGTGGAAACATAGTACCAACTGTTGAGGCGAGTACTGACCGAAGGAATCAGTATAATTTCATAGCTGATGTTGTAGAAACTTGTTCCGAAGCTGTCGTTTACATTGAAATTAAAGATGCCAGAAGGGTGGATTTCTTTACAGGAAAACCTATGACAATTTCGAACGGTTCCGGATTTATAATTAAATCGGACGGGTTAATTGTTACGAACGCACATGTAGTTACTAACAAACCACAAGCGAAGGTGGAAGTACGCCTATCTAACGGTACCGTTTACCACGGTATGGTTGAAGATATCGATTTGCGCAGCGATTTAGCTACAGTACGTATCCAAGCAAAGAATTTACCCATAATGAAATTGGGCGACTCTGGACTCTTACGACCTGGTGAATTTGTGGTCGCGATCGGTAGTCCCTTGTCTCTAAGTAACACTGTTACTTCTGGAGTGGTGAGTCTTTATAAGTCGCTATTAAGAGATACTAACTTAGACTAGATAAGTTCCACCCAGAGAGGTTCTGCCGAATTAGGATTGCGAGACAAAAACATGGTTTATATACAAACAGATGCTGCAATTACGTTCGGAAATTCGGGTGGACCGCTTGTTAATCTCAACGGTGAAGCTATAGGTGTCAACAGTATGAAAGTGACGTCTGGTATATCATTTGCAATACCGATAAATTATGTCAAAGACTTCCTAAAAACAGTACGTTCAAATCAAACATCACAAACAGAGAATGTAAAACGAAAGTATATGGGAATCACTATGCTAACGTTAACGGATCAAATTATTTACGAGCTGCATCAACGTGATCAATTCATTCCCCCAAGTATCACGCATGGGGTTTTGGTTTGGAAAGTTATCGTAGGATCGCCAGCACATAGGTAAAATATCCATTTTGGTAATCGAAATGAACATATGATTTCAGTGGTGGACTGCAACCAGGAGATATCGTCACTGATATTAATAGTGAGCCTATTAAAAGTGCCAATGACGTCTATGCCATTCTTGCTAAAGAAAAATCTGCGAAATTAAACATGACAGTGGTTAGATCTGGAAAATCTCTTAATATTTCTATTACTCCAGAAGATGTTAACTAACAATAAAAATTGTTTGAAGTAATGCTATTTTTTTCGACGAGTTTTAACTTCAGTCCACTCGGAGTCCTGTTCCATTGGTGTTGCTTGGGTCTCGGCTACTGGCGATTGTGAGGTTGAAGGTGCCTACAATTTCAAATTACTTTTGGCATCGTTAACACATCACTTACATGTGCCGGAGCCTGTGCCTGAGTAGAAAACCACACCTTGCACGTTGGTAAATCTCGATATTCCTGTTCGCATTGAGCCAAATTACCTTCTTTCAAAAGCAGTAGAAAACGATGGAGCAGATTAGCAATCTCCATTGGTGAATTGTCTTCGCATATTGTGTCAAATTCTTCGTCCATTATATCTTCGAGAGCCTCTCGAATATCGCTTACTTGTATATTGGGCTCACTTAAACAGAATTGAGTGATATAGTCGACGCATTGAGTGACAACCTAAAAAGTAGATGTAGAGTAATTGCAACGAAAATCGGTGATCGTACCTCACGACTGTTGGGGCCTCCCATATCATGTTCCACAGCAAGTCGTAGCGCAGACCAATTATTAAATATTTGTTCGACAATTACACGATATTGAATATCCATTTTTGTGATTAATTTATTGTTTTGTTAAAAAATGTGTAAAATTGTGAGGTTAACTGCATTTAGTTAGGAAAACAAAATCACTAAAAGAAAAATCAGCGAACCTCAACCGGTTTCTGGATTTTTATTCTATATTTTAATAGGGGCACATCCTCTTTCAAATATTTTCGTTGGAGTTTATCGATCAGCAATTACATACATTACCCCTTATAAATAAATAAAATTTATATCCTGGAGAACGTGATCAGAGTGTGACCGAATGCAGCCCATGTAATGTTTTGTTTTGATTACCACAGTTTGAACCTCATCTCATCTGTCAACATTTTTTAATGTTTGTAGACTTTAAACATGTTTGATTTTGGAGATACGTTGGCTCTTATATTGGGCCTTACAATAAGCCTAATTGGAATATTGGCCTGTTTGGGATCGTATGCCAGAAAACATGCTGTTACAGAACGATTGTGATGGTAAGATTTATTACTCAATCTTTGCATATCATTCCGATTTTTATTTTCAGGATTTTATCATCAACTGATGAGAATGGTGCAACTTATTACTTTATAAAGATATTTTATAATAAACATATTAATTTTTTGCTGTTTTTTGTTCTGGTTGATCTGTACCTCCAATATTATTGTACATTATCGTTGCTTTTCTTCTTGTCCACCGCGTAAAACTCAGTGATAACTAGTAGGTCTTATAGTATGTAAGCAGTGAGCACCTAGTCTTCGACTTATATTGTCTGGCATGAATTCGTTCTTTGAGAAATGTTTGTATGTATACACTGTAAATAGTCTTAGTTCGATCAACCTTGACAATTTCAAACAAGTCATGATGTTTGGCTCTTTTGGAATAACTGACAAACAATTACAGTAAAAATGACAACTTATGACTTGGTGTCCATTATATATCTGTACAAGAGCTCATATTGTCATTAGTGAGCAGTAGCAATTGCCATTGATATTACAATGTAAGTACCAATATTTTTTGTACTAAGTCACATAAGTTTCTTGTTTACACGAAATATATGGATTTAGTATTGTTTGATGATAAACAACAGAGTTAGCGAATTTTAAACAGTAGGTACTAATTCAAAGGGCTAGCTAGTAGCCCTATCTTGGAACTGTTTGAAATTATGGATTCTACAGGCCACATTCTATAAGAAAATGTTTTTTTCCGGACGATCTGAGACAATTTTTTCTTCGGGGCTCAAAAAAAGGCAGTGTATAACCTACCTTTTTTACCAAAAATCGACTACACCAAAATTTCTCGGGACAACACTTTTTCTTATTAATTTTGGTGCGTAGAATCCAAAACAATTCGTAGGTACTTTTTCGATTAGACTTCTCAATCAAAAGTTATAGACTAGAAACCAATTTCGAAAGAAAATTCAAAGGGCTGTAACTTTTGAACTAGTAGCCCAATCTTGGAACTGTTTTGAAATTATGGATTCTACAGGCCACATTCTATAAGAAAATGTTTTTTTCCGGTCGATCTGAGACAATTTTTTTTTGGGGGGGCTCAAAAAAGGCAGTGTATAACCTTCCTTTATTACCAATAAATCGACTACACCAAAATTTCTCGGGACAACACTTCTTCTTATTAATTTTGGTGCGTAGAATCCAAAACAATTCGTTACTTTTTCGATTAGACTTCTCAAACAAAAGGTTATGGACTTGCTAGGAAACCAATTTCGAAAGAAAATTCAAAGGGCTGTAACTTTTGAACTAGTAGCCAAATCTTCAAACTGTTTGAAATTATGGACTCTACAGGGCACATTCTATAAGAAAATGTTTTTTCTCGGTCGATCTGAGACAATTTTTTTTTCGATCCTCAAAAAAAGGCAGTGTATAGGTAAGTGTCTTATTAAAAATCTGCTTTAATCCTCAAAAAATTTATACTTGTCTTTTATCGTTTATGGAGGAAATTTTCTACAAAATGATGACCATTTCTTTCTTACAACAACGAAGAAGATGCATAGTTGAACAGTATTGATATATTTTTTTAATTTCAGTAAAATTATTGAATTATAAGTTGTTTATCAAATAAATAGATTTTTGTTCTAATCTGAGTTGTGATTTCATACAGGAAAAAATAATAATTAATAAGGTCAAATTATTCCTTTGTGCTTCCTATAATGTTGTTTTCTGTTAACTTTTGAATTTGTGACTTAGTATACTTTACCTCTGAGGTACAGAATACTCCTCCTTCCGGCTATTAGTGCAGCATTAACTTTACTACGTACCAATTTTCAGCACCGAACCTTGTGGTACTCCTCCGTGGATGGCATACGTATTAAGCATGTTTTCTTTTCCAGAATCCCCCTCAACTTTTCCACGTTTAACTTCCCGCCATCCCATGTGTCCTCCTGTTGGTTGTTGGGATTTTTACAAACAGGATGGCGTAGAAAATATGCATCATTTTTCGGTTACCACCATCAACGTTAGCCTTAAGAAATTTTGTAGAGCATGAAAAACTTGCTACAACTTTGGTAGGTATTTAAAATTTTCTTTTATCTCTACCATCAATATATAAAGTCGCAAAGATGCGTGCAAGTTTGCAAAAACAACTAAAATGAACCGTTTGGTTTTTACCACCCGCACGTTAGTAAGGGAGGTATTGCATTGGGTAAAGGAAAGCACTTTTGACGTCAAATTGAATCATTTTGAGTCGTTCACGTGCACATACACTCTACAGAGATCGCACTGAGTCTCATCTCATTGTAGAGCCGAAGGTTTCAGTGAAATTAATCACTTCACGTTGCAAGATAGCCCTTGGTTACAACACACGCCTTGTAAGGCTCCACTGAACTATCAGCATTATACTTGACCTTGTAGACCCATCGACAGTCAATCATCTTCTTATCAGTCGGCCTAGGCTAGGAATTAAGTTCCAAATGTGATTTTCATTGCCACTTTGCAATTTTTGGCTTTAAAAACTTCTAATGGCTTTGCTGTACGTAACTTAGACGGTTCATTAGATATCATGGTGTAGCATTCTCAGGTTCCACTGACTGCATAGAAATTCAACTTCCTCGGTATCGGAGTTTCTACTCTTGGTTTCCTCCGTTTGCCTCGAATGAGTTCTGGTATCAACAAGCTTGACCTTGGTTCCAAAGACCCTACTGAAGGTAGAGGCTCCGCTGCTTATTGTTCTGTATGCAGTACCATAGAGTAAATAATATACTCTATGGCAGTACCCAACCAAGATATCTTAGACGACCTTCTTGTCCAACTTAGTCAACTTCTTCGTAAACAGTCTTCTGAAAGACGCCTAAGTTTATGCAACCAAAATCACTTCTTGAAACAAATAAAGATCTGGCTGTCATATTAATTATTAATTGGAATATTGTTGCTTTGGCTTCACAGAAAATAAATCTTTTAAGCTCCTTTAACTGTTACCAGCCCTATCCCAATTGGAAATAACTTTTTCTTTAGTGGAATATACCGCACACGAATAGAACGAAAATTAGAATACGGAAGTCAAAGTGATAATATTCATATTAATTAATATGACAGGCAGATCTTCATTTGCTGTAGGTAGCGATTTTGGTTGCATAAAGTTAGGTGTCCTTCAGAAGACTTTTTATCATTTAAAAGTAGGAAATTCCTATAGGAAATCCTTATGTCTACTTCTACATGTATATTCATATGATTCAGGATGCGCGCGCGAATATTCATATGATTTAGCCTACGGGTATTAAAAAGTTAAAACTGTCTTTGCTTCCACTTCGAATATCCCAAAGTTCATTTTTAAGTTTTCATTTATTCCATACATGCTAATATGTATATTTTGCAAATCTACACCCTAAAAAGGGATTCTTTCGAAAAAGATTTCTACTAAGGAGCTCTTGCAGTACCCAATGTTTAGGCGAATTCCTGAGAAGCTTTCACGAAGATTGCCAGAAGCGTAGAAGATCTTGATTTCTAAGAACTCTTAAAGAATCTCTAAGAAGGTTTCACAAGGGGTTTCTAATGCTTCTAATAGGAAGCCTTATATGGAGGATTTGAAAATGATCTTTAGAACAGTTTCTGACATGAGTTGATAAAAGCAAGATTATTAAGGATCAGGTTACGATTCCTTTATTATCTTTCTAATAAAAAATGCGTTTATTTATTGTGAAGTTTTCTTAAGAGTATGTCTAGTAAAATTGCTAGGACGAATTCCGACAAGGATTTAATAAAATTGTTAGAATGACTTCTAGGAGTCGATAAGAAGCATCGAATCTCAGGTGGCTGGATATTCTACTTAATTTGTGGACCTTTAGTTTTGTGGTTCCTTACTTTTCTTTTGTAAATCCAAATCCATTTTCCCAGGAAAGCTGAAGACCATAATGACAAGCAAGTTGTCATATTCTACTATCACTGCAGAGACATGGTTGAAAAGTTGCTCTGTCACTTTTTTAATTAATACAGTCAGCTATATCACATTCTTATTTTTAAACTTCATATCTCTACAGAAAGCAAATAGAATATCATTGTATTGGAGGAAATGTACATTACAAGTGTTTTAGATAGTCATTACATTAGCGGATTATACACAATTGTCCAAAATTTGGTTTTAGCAGCTGAAAGGAAAATGGTAGATTTTGCACCATTCGCGTCGTCGTATACCTACGTTGGAAGGAGGGACAAAAAGGGCAATTAGGCCAATTAGTCTACTGAAAAACTCTTACTCTTACTTTTATCAAAAGGTAGAGACGTAATTCGGTATCAGTCTAATCACCTTATCATCCATGATGATGGGAATTGAGCTCGATTTGGTGGAATTTTACCGATTAAACTATCGTTCAATTGTTCACATTGTAGTGGCTTATCTGAAGTACCACAGATTACCTACCTAAGATGTATACCTATTTAAATACATCCACCTCATTTTTCGGTCTCCTATTCACGCAAAATGTTGCCAAAAAGTGTTGCCTTACTTGTTATTAGCTGTGGAATACTGGTGTTGGCGGGCGAAAAAACAAAAGTGACCAAATGTGAGTATTATCGGTAAATGGAACTGAAACTAATCATTTTTTTAAGGTACAAACGGAGCGCAGCTGCCCATTGAGGTTAACATCCCGGGATGTTCTACGCCCCCATGCGCCATTAAGTTGGGTGAATCCATCAGTGCCTATGTCAATTTCACTGCTCGTATTAATACTTGACTCGAAAGTTACACGATAGATCGTTAATCGTATGATTTTAGCGTTGCACACGTACGCGCTCAAGGCGAAAGCAATTGCGACAACATCCATTATTCCATTTCCAGTTGACTATCCGCTGCCTCAGCCAAATGCCTGCAAAGCGCTCACTAACACACACTGTCCTTTAGAAATCAACGAACCGGCCCAATATAAACTTGAGATGCCGATCAGTGACAAATTTCCAAGTGTAAGTGTATAGCAACACCAACAATGGAGTCCCTTAATTGAAAGTTCCGCAATTTTCAGCTTGATTTTCTCTTGAGAATTTACTTGGAAGCAAATGACGAGAAGGATAATATTGCAACTTGCTTTGAAGTGCTATGCAAGACTGTAAATTAAAGCTGTTTTGTCCAACCGAATTCCACAGAAATAAATTCCTAAATATGACATATCCTAAACATGACAACCTACTACAAAGCCATTATAGTTTGTCTTTTCTGTGGAATTTGCATTTTAATATGTTCATAAACATATAATAAATGAGTAACAATGTTGTTATTGACCTCTCATGATTTTAATTAGGAGTTTGGTATTCCATGCCAAGGTTGCCTGATCTGGCAGATTGGGACTCTTCATAGGAACCCGTGATTTGAACCACTCACGCAGACTTTAGTAATAACGTCTATATTAGATGTTGATCTAAAGGGCGAAGTTCACCTAGGGGCAACATCGCCACCAGGTGTTCTTCCACTTAACCCATAACATAACTTCAATTTAAATGTTTACAATTTCGATGGACGGGTGACAAAGAGAGAACAAAAAAAAGACAATACTGTAAAGAAAAAAAGTTAATTAATAAGCAACTTGAGAATGGGACACTTTACTCGTTCAAAAATTGTAGTATAGCCTGATATGCCTTTGTTTGGAATTCGGCAAGATTGATAACGATAACTTATCGTCTAGCACGAGCTTTTGGCACAAATATGATACCCTTTAGTAGTAAATCCGACATTGAAAATGTAGAGACATCGCCGTTCTTCCATCTTTTGATCTGTTCTTTCATTTGATGACCTTAACGAAAACCGAAACATTTATTTATTTATTTATTTACTATCCCTCTCTTGTTCTGGGCCCTCAACAGGCTTGCGCCCAATTACAGAGTGACCCGCATAATTAAAACTCGTCTCCAAATTTGACAACGGTTGGTCAACTGTGGGACCTTCATACAAATTACACATTTTAACATACAAAATCATCGATCCTGTTAAAGTTCGCCTTATTCACCAGATTTTGCATTTTTTTTACTAATCTCAAAACGTGTTTGATGATGGTGGCGCCACCATTGTTAATAAAGTTGAGCCAATTGCGCCCCAGAGAAAGTTGGAAAAACATTTTATTGCAGTTGTCGTTTAAAATGAGTTGAAGCATTTTCGAAAGAAGTAATTCGGCAAATGAATGAGTAATGCGCATTTTTGGTATTACCGATCAGTATTTTATTAGCAAAGTAAGTTTTCCCGTGACAGTCAATTTTCCCGCTACTGTATTGGTTACTTTTCCATATGGAATCGATCTCACGAGTAATCTAGGGAGTCACAACTGAAGCTGCCGCGTGGTTTTTAAAGGTTTTTAAAACATTTATGAGTTATTCTGTTTTAAAACCCTTTCTGCTTTTCTCTTTAAACTTTTCATATGCCCCATATTTTTCGCCTCTTAGTGCATTGTTTTCTATACAGGGTGGCCATTTGAAAACGAAACAGAGACTATTTTGGGGACCTCGAAACATTTACGAAAAAATCCTCGGACCCGTCAATTTTTTATCCAAGGGGGAACCATTTTTTTGCTAGTTTCGCCCCCCTGGGGGCAAAGCTATAACGGGGGTGACAAGTGCCCCCAAAATTTTAAATCGAATGGGGGGTCGAGTGATACCTTATTTTGAAGGTATTTTATGTAGATTATAACTCTTAAGATTTAAATCAATTTTATTTTAAGTGCTTACAGCTAAACTCAATCAAGTAAATGTTGAAAATGTTGGCCTTCGACTTCCATACAATAATACAGGTTTTGTTCAAACCTTTCCCGTACTTTTTGCAAAACTCCTGGGGTGATTTGACGACATTCATCAATTATTCTTTGTCGCAAGTTGTCTAACGATGTTGGCTGACTAGCATACATTCTAGTTTTTAAATGCCCCCATAAAAAAAATCTAACGGACTTAAGTCCGGGGAACGAGGAGGCCATTCAATAGCTCCTCTTCTTCCAATCGATTGTCCTGGAAACGTTTGGTCCAAATATTGATGAACCCCTGCAGCATAGTGGGGTGGCGCACCATCTTGCTGAAATACTAGACGATTTTCCAAGTACTTGTTGTTATTTTCTAGTATCTCCACTAATGCTGGATGAATCGTATTTTCTAATAACTCCAGGTATGTACATCTCTCCTGTTAGATTGCGAGGTAAATAGAAGGGGCCTAGGATATGGTTACCAAAAATACCACCCCAAACATTCAATTTTTCGGGATGTTGTGTATTCACCACACGAAATATTCTGGGATTTGAATCAGCCCAATAGAAAAAGGAGCATTTATTTCAACTCTTTCAGGAAGTGGATAAACCATTATTATCACTGTTCAATGTACCGATTTTGCAACTAAATAACTTTTAAGTCTATTTGTCACTACTATGATTTGACAACAACAATTGACAATCACTATTAAACTTCAAAATGTTGTTATAATAACGCTCTCAACAATAACCAAAATTTAACTAATTCATTTACATTTTTGTTTCATAAGAAAATGTTGACACGTTTTTATAACTTTTATTAGCCCCTGTATCGGCTAGGCAAATTAGTAGCGATTTAAAAGTTAAGGGTTATAATCCACATAAAAATACCTTCAAAATAAGGTATCACTCGACCCCCTATTCGATTTAAAATTTTGGGGGTGGTTGTGTGTAACGAGTGGTTTTGATTTCGCGCCAAATTTCATTAAAAATTTCGAAATTTCTTGTCATGATAGTGAAGATCACCCTGTATATTTCATTATTTGTTCCGGTTAGAAATTTTGGGTTTGGGCATTTCGGTTCGCTCAAGACTATGGTCCGATAGATTTAATTTCGCTCAGATTTAATTTCGTCGTGGGAAGAGTGCAAAGCTGATTGACGTCATCATGAGTAATGCGAGTTTTTTGTCGTTCGTTTATCAACGTTGGCGCCGTCTAGACCGAGAATAGGAGCGGATGTAGCACCGAGCCGTCAAGAGATAAGGAGTTTTCACGTCATCAGCAGAAAACCGTGAGATCAGTTTAGTCAGCAGTTCCTTGAGGTTGACGACGAAGTTAGAGTGGGTTAAGTTTTCTTTATCTGAACCAATGGGAGAATTTCTAGCGGGAGCCATTTTTGTTTTATGGTAATTTGGGTGTGGTTTTTTCATTTCAATTCTGAAGAAGGGGATCGTTTTTGAGAAGACTCGCGGTTAGTACGTCGAGGGGTCAATACGTACTTTGAGTGATCGCGTTTTAAAGAGACTCGCGGTTAGTACGTCGAGGGGTCAACACGTACTTGAGTGATCGTTTTTGGAGAGACTCGCGGTTGGTACGTCGAGGGGTCGACACGTACCTTGAGGGATCGTTTTGGGAGACTCGCAGTTAGTACGTCAAGCGGTCAACACGTACCTTGAGCGATCGTTTTGGTACACTTGGCGGTTTGAGCCACCGGCTTATTTCGGTTGCTCGCAGTTGCGTGCTTTTTGCACCCGTTTCGAAGTGCTATTTTCTTTTCGCGTTGATTTTTTGGCGAAGAAGACCCAGGTTCCAATCAGGTGATATTTTGGCGAACCCTTGAGCTTCACCCCAGTTTACTTTGGATGCAGTGAATCGCGTTAGGATACGTTGTGATTTCTCGAGGATATATAATCAAAGTGCTGCCCTAGTCCTCAAGGCGCAGAATTTCGGGATCCGCCCCAGGTGGAATTTCCTACTAGTGCCGTACGGTCATTTGTCGAAGGAGCGCTGCGTTTCGGAGAGATATTTGCCCCAAGAAGAGCTGGTGAAATAATACTTTGAACCATCGCGGTTTACCGTCGGATAGTGATCATAAAAGTTTGTGTTCTGCCGTACCGCTAACTCAAAAAATCCGTCTCCCGCAGGCGGTCAAAGCTAATAAACTAATAAAATAAAATTAAATACACGTGCTGGGTGGAAACTTTGGCAACTAGCCGTCTCCCACTCGCCACGCGAAGGATTTCCTGGACTAAGTTTCCGTTCAAACACTAAACTTTGCTTTCGTTCCGAGGAAGGATAGGCACCGTGGATTTTGGTTTCCGTGTGTTAAATTCAAGCCACCCCTAGGAAGTCACAGAGACCTAAGTGTCAGGTTTCATCACATCCACCCTGTACCAGAGGAAAGAGCAGTTCACAAGATCGGCTGTACAAATGTTGTAAAGGTTAGTCTAATTAAATTTGTAATATTCTGTAAAATTCCACTTTTTGGTAATTAAGCTATAGTAAAAAAAATTTTTGATTTGATTGTTTATTAAAGTCCAATGAACGATTACCAAAGAGTAGGATAAATTTTTGTGTTTATTTAAATAAGTCCCAGCCCATGCTGGATTAAAAAACGATTACCTGTTGTTGCAATTTTCAAACTGTAGAGGATGGCCACCCCTTGAGTAAATTAGTCTCACCTGTTAGGATTTTTTATTTAGTTTAGTTGTCATTGTTAAGCTAGTGTTTTTACAAGGAGAAGAGAAGAACTGCTAGATCCCTGTAAATTGTTTGTATCGCTAATTTCATTTCAATATATTATCTATTTGGTTTCAATGTGCCTGTCTTTAACGAAGAACGAGGGGAAGGAAAGGGAGGAGTAGGAGTTAAGGCAGAGGACTGGTAGGCGGCAGTTTAAGGTTTGTTACGCAGTTTAAAAAGAGTTAAAAGCCCACCGATTTGAGTTAGCCGGAGCATTTATTTTTATCGATTGAGCAGCCTAAGAAGAAGACGGTTTGCCTTGCCGGGCGGAACCGATGGTAATCTTCAAATCCAGAAGGAACCCCCGTAGCA